GGTCGCACGGAGGAGGCGAGCAAAACCCCGTGCTCGGCGGTCCGAACTCGCTACTCCGGCGACGGCGGCGGCGGCGGACGACGGTGGCGACGGCGGCGGGCGGCGGTGGCGATGGAGGCGGCGACAGCTGCAGGTTCAGATGGCGAGCCGAAAAAATCCCAAGAGACCTTAAGCTCTTGATACCATATTGAATATAGGGAAAAACTGTATAGGGTTAATTTCCCTTGTGTATTTACCACACATAGGGCAGTGTATTTATAATAAAGAAAGGTACTCCTCAAAAGAGTAACAGAATACAAATAGGGTAAATAAAAGATATTATTTGATATTGTGATTAACAATATCTCAACAATATCAAATAATATCAACTAATATCTAATCATATCTAACACATTTTAGTAATATTGTTCTTTTTCTTAGTTTTTTTTTTGTCGTTGTAAAATTCGTATTCTTTTTCTTAGGAACTGTTGTCTTTCTTACGCAGGGAAAACAAGAACCTTACAGGTACAGCTCGGTATGCAAGTGTCAACACTCATCTTGGAATTGGTGAGTAATATGTTGTGAATTTGTGGTGGCTCATTCTTCTTTTTGTGTTGTCAAATGGTAATTAGAACGCTTGCTTTTGTTAATTTTACTTTATTTTGCTAGCAGAACAAAGCAGAAGGGATGATTTGGAATCTCTTGGTTACGTACTCATGTACTTCTTAAGAGGAAGGTCAGAGAATTAATACATACATCTACTGTACCCCTTACACTTGATTTGGATATTTATTATGTTATTCTTAATGTAGTTTATCAAAAAATGTTATTGTCACTATATCTTTTCATTGTACAATTTTTTTTCAGTCTTCCCTGGCAAGGACTGAAGGCTGGCACCAAAAAACAAAAATATGATAAAATCAGTGAGAAGAAAATGTCAACTCCGATAGAGGTATAATGACTAGCTGGATCACTGCAGCTTTTGGATAAATATGATATTCCCTCTGGATTTAGTGTTTTATGCTTTAAATTTGGTTGGATGTTGTTGAATGGTGTGATCTGCAGTCGGACCTGGATAACATAGAGCTTTAGAAGATAAGCTAGGCCTGAGAGCCACTCCCATATTGACTTCTAATGTGAACACTTATGAGCAAACTGAACTGCATGTTTCTCCTGTACATTCAACTAGATTATGTTATCTACGAATACTGAATACTGCTATTAATTAAATCAAGTTGATTTTCACATTTTAATTCTTAAGTAGTATATGCTTTGCATTCAACTATTGGCATACCTTGCCTATTATGTCCTTTACCTTTCTTTCCTCTCTATTATATCTTGCAATTTTGTTGGTCCTGTTGTCTTAATGTTAATTTCGTGCCTGTATAACAGATTCTTTGCAAATCATATCCCTCAGAGTTTGTATCATATTTTCACTACTGCCGATCATTGCGGTTTGAGGACAAGCCTGATTATTCATATTTAAAGAGGCTTTTTCGAGATTTATTCATTCGAGAAGGCATGATGTGCTACATATCTAATTTTTAAATTAGCATTCTGTATATTTTGATGAAACCTAGTATGGTAAATGGATATGAATTGATCTGGACATTCTTATTACAGGCTATCAGTTTGACTATGTTTTTGATTGGACTCTAATGAAGTATCCGCAGATTGGTGGCAGTTCTAGAGGCCGCGTTAGTACTTTTATACAATGCATGTTTGTACTTTTCTTTCTACTTGAGGTCACTAAATATAATTGTTTTGATAACAGCATGAAAGCGGCAAGGCAGCTATGCATGCAGGACCATCTGTACAAAAGCCAGAAAAGATATCAGGTCCACTCTCTTTCAGCCAAATAAGACAATAGAATTTGTTATCCTTCTAATTCAAAACAAATCTGACCTCGGCTGTTCTGGAATTTTGAAGTTAATATATTCAGTGACCTCCATTTTCTTAATTTCAGTAAATAGATAGTCTGAAAAGCATTAAATCACACGTATCCTTTTCATTGCTCATGTCAATTGTGGCTATAACTACTGTACCTTTCCCAAATTTACTTTTGTATATTCCATGGTCATTCAAACCATTTACTCATTTCAGTTGGGAAAGAGATTCGGGAAAAGTTCTCTGGTGCTGTTGAAGCTTTCTCTCGGAGGAATCCAACAAGTTCTAGTCCTCGTGGTGATCACTCCAAACATAGGGGTTTTGAGGAAGTAGCAGTGCACAAGGATGTGGTAAGTATTATTTTCTAACAATAAGATTCCATTGTTTATCACATGAAGATTCCACGATTGTTTTCAAAATACGGGAGTTTTGTGAATATGTTGCATGCAATCATTTGTTATAAATTTTTATCAGATTTTAGAGTTGTGGAGTACTTCCATCGCGGAAACAATGGTGAAAGTTGTCATTTAAATAATGAATTAGTTTGTTTATTGAGACCTTTAATTTGGATTTTAGCTGAATTCATTTAAATTTGTTATAGAACCTATCATTTGTTTTATCACCCTTCTTTGTTCATCTTTTGCTTGTGCCTAAAACCTTTATGTATTTGTTTATATTTTCTATTCACATGTTAACCTTGTCTTTGAAGTATCATGATCAAGAGAAGGGACGGAATTCATCTCGATATGGCAGCAGTTCAAGAAGAGCCATAATTTCATCATCAACCAGGCCAAGTTCCTCTGGCGATCATACTGACAGTCGTACTAGCCGGCTCACGTCAAGTGTAAGCCGTCCATCTACGACGCATAGAAACATTCAACCTATGTTTGAGACCAAACAACCAACATACACACGCTCTGGATCTACCAGAGGCAACCGCGATGATCCTCTCCGGAGTTTTGAGCTCCTCTCAATCAGGAAGTAACAAGTATATTTAGTTTCATTGTTGCAAAGACATTTTCTAAGTTCTAATGCACCTGTTCCCAGAACCATCGATCTCAAGCTTTACGGAATCATGTTCATGTATATTATTGAATTGCCATGAGCCATGAGGTCATAAGCAACATCCCTTGCTGTTACCATTCTGTGGACTATATTCTGACCTCCTCTAGATAATATGCCCTCTGTAGAAGATTTATCGGATGTTGTTTCATGTTTGTAAAACATGCTCCTAAGAACTCAACCAGGGTCCTCTCGTTTACTAGAAAAACTTGTCTTTTCTATAGAACAAAATAGATGAAAGTAGAGTTGTAGTTTATGATGCATTGTTATTGTATTTTTGCAGTGAGACCCAACACTGTCTCTATGTTTCCCTTGTTATGAGAGTGGGATTATTTGTTAGAAATTGGTCTCAAGCTTCAAGAGCTATTTGAGAGATCTTTCATTCTTCATTTCTCCTGCAGCCTATACTCGCTCGCATGGCGGATATATTTGCCAAACTCAACCATATAAACTACTTGTGGTGATGTTAGTTTTACAATTTCTGGTGTTTGGCTACACCTTATAGGAACAAGATTGGTTACATCTGATAGAACAAAGAAAAACCATATAGTAAGTGGATTATAAATTTATTCATCAATGAAGAGAATATGGAGTAAATTCATATTCATTCGAAATAACTTTCCTTTTCTGTAGTTGATCACACGTTTAAATTTTGTTATGCAACACTGTCTATGCAATTACAATTACTTTTGATGGTCACTTATTTTCCTACAGCAATTTTCTAACTGAATTTAAACTTTCACCTAGCAGTACACTCTTTAGATGGACACCACTTTTAAATCCATTTATCACTTTAATTACAGACAAGAACAACGCGATTAATTTTGAAATAGAATTTATCTAACAAGGATTTCAAGACAAACATGATCTTTTCCAAGAATAAATATGATATTTGAGGACAAACATGGTATTTCATTGATGGTTCTATTTATTATCACTGAGCTTTTCTCTCTCTCTTTATATATATATATATATATATATATATATATATATATATATATATATATATATATATATATATATATATATATATATATATATATATATTATATAGGAGATAAATTAATTTCATGATAGTATAATACTCATCATTCTCCTAACAGCACGAAAATAGTTGTTTGACCGATTAAATTGATTCTGTAAAGAATATATCAATATAGAATGTTTACTATGGACTAAATTACAATACAATTTGTTTGGATAACGGATTAATCTTCCAAGGCAAAACAATATTTAAGGTAAAAGGAAAAAAGTCTTACTCAAACTTAGAAAGATGAAGGTTCATGAGATGCAAATTAGACGCCAATTAATATGTGGCCGTTCAGCAAAAGAGAGTCAAAGGCTTAATATTCTTCTGCACCAAATAATTTATTACACTCCTCCATCCTTTCTCTCTCTATCGCCTTACCACTCGGGCAAAAGGCAATTCTTCTATAAATAACAATAATTATTCTTAACACATTTCTTTCTAAATTTCTATATTCTTAAATACTAAACATATTTCACCCATGACTTTCTTTATATTCTTTAAGTTCTTTTTAATTTTTTTTCAACAGTTTCTTCAAAAGTACATAATTACTATAATAACTAGAATGAGAGCAAGGTTTAAACTAAGACGCTAGAGAATGCCTGTATTTTATGTCAGAAATGGATATTTCAAATTTTGGTTATTTTATTCAGGGTAAAGCCTTTGGGAATCAACTCTTGATAATGCAAGGTCTAACATAGAATCAATGAATGTACACATGTTCAATCTATTACCATTCTCCCTCGCCTAATAATTTCATTCCAAACAAACACCTTCACCCATTAGTAAAACCTTTCTTTGGCCAGCGACAACATTGATCCACGGTGAGATTCACTTACAAATAGCATCAAACTAAAAGTTATTATTCTTTATGTCCCCAACTACAACTTGTGCAAGTAAATTGCCATCTCAGCAATTTAATATATCATCGTCATTCATACATTATAATGTCAAGGATGTATATACACACTAAACTTATGAAATCCCAAGAAAACATGGTTCAGGAAAGAATTTTTGCTTTAAACTATCACAATCCCATGCAAGATTATGGATTTCTAAGAGCTGCCAAACGCTTCTCAAGTTCGTCAATGCCCGAGCTGCAGTGGCATCAAATTTTCAAGGTCAAATAAAATTTAAATTAAAACAATAAAATGGCTAAATTTTAATTTATTTATGCAATAGACACATGGAACCAAGTTAAATTCTTTAGAAAAATGAACAGTTAGACAGAAGATACCTGCTGACATCTTCAGTATTCTTTGTCGTAACTCTCCCTTTTGGAGCTGCTGATAACTGCCAAAGAGTTCAAATATGAATCAAATTAGGTCGAGAAAAAGCATTATGACTCATGAAAGGAGTGCGAAGATTAAGAACAGCGTATTCCTACCTGAGAGGCAACATCAACACCAATTTCATCCAGTACCTGCAAAGAAAGAGTTTGAGTGAAATTGTCATCCATTTTTTTTTTTTTTGTAATTTGAAAAAAAAAAGCCATCCCTAAACAATAAGACCTTGACCGTCTGTCTATCTAGTCTTGTTATTATTTGTGAATCATAAACCATTCCTTCAAAACCTTGCAAACTACGCCACAATAAATCATAACTAACTAGTTCACAATTTTTTTGATAAGAAAATATGTAAACAACAATGGCGCACTAGTTCATGAAGTGGAGCAAGAGAATTGGGCTGAAGGTGATAAAGAGCCCAAGACCACATTGTCTAAGAAGGTGAGTACATAACCGTCTTACCTCAAGGATTATCAACAATGAAGATATTATCCATGAGTGAAAGATATTATGAAGTGTCCTTCAATCATAGGTTCTGTAGAAAAATTATTCCTTCGGTTGTTTTTTCATTTCCCTAAAACGCGGGTAACCAATCATTGGCACCTCTCTCTCTCTCTCTCTCTCTCTCTCTCTCTCTTTATATATATATATATATATATATATAGATAGATAATGAATGAAAGTTATCTCAATTTCTTTTTTATTCTCTCGTATTTCTAAGAGGTAGCCTGGACCTCGAACCAAGGTAGTTCTTTTACGTATCATCTTTGGTGCTTTCATTACCTTTTTATAACGTTTGAACTAGTCACCCGTTCTAAAGCTTCCTTTGATAAACTGGAAAAAGATAACCTCAAATTAACCCAAAACCAATCTATTCTTACCGCAAACCACAATGCTCTCAAAATCCAAGTAGACCACCTAATCACTAAAGTGTCCAACCTTGAGACCAATTCTCATACTTCACTTGACCATACTTCTTCTCGTCACTTTTCTTCCTCCCACCCCAACATGAAACTAGGTGTACCTAGATTCAATGGTTCTGACGCCACATGTTGGATCTTCAAAATTACTCAGTACTTCGAATACCATCACACCTTTGATGAAGACCACATCAAGATAGTGTCATTTTACATGGATGGCCTTACTCTTTGTTGGTAACAATGGATGCACCACAGCAGTATGATCAAATCTTGGTCAGATTTGTTTCATCCTCTTGAAACTAGTTTTGCGCCTTCTTTTTACAATGATCCAAAGGGTGCCCTCTTCAAACTCACTCAAACAGGTATTGTTAATGATCACCTCACTGAGTTTGAGTGTTTGGCCAATCATATTATGGGATTGACTCCTTTTCTTTTAAGTTGCTTTGTTTTTTGTTTGACCCCTGATATTCGTTGTAAGGTGCAAGCATTACATCCAATTTCAAGAGGATAAGCTCCTTGACCAATGTCGTTTTAAAGGAAAAAATGTTCCCCACTTCTCTTTGCACTCCTTCGTTTTTGGATAACACCATTATAAACCCATCGTCACCACGCAACCTACCACCATTTCTACCCACCCCTACACAAACTCACTCATAACGAAATGCATCTCCGCCATAAGAAAGGACTCTGTTATAATTGTGTTGACCAGTTTAGCCTTAGGTATAAGTCCAAGGCTTGTTCTTCCTCATTATTGTTGAAGAAGAGGATGATGCTGTTGATTTTGATCCTTCAGGTCTTGACCCTACATCCTTCTTATTAAGGAAGGAGAACCCAAATCCCTTGACTCCAAATTAGCTTCAATGCACTGACGGGCCTCTTGACTCTTGAAACACACTGCTTAATGGGCCAAGTTGCAAAACAAACCATTACAGTTTTGGTGGATGATGGTAGTACGCACAATATTTTGTAGGATAGAGTAACTTGTTTTTTATCTCTTATAATTGAGCCCACAAACGTGTAAATGGGTCTGAAACTGAATGCACAAGGTTTTGTAGAAATGTTCATTTGATGTTGTAAGGTCACACCTTTACACTGTGGATCTCCATGTGTTGTCCATCAGTGATGCAAATGTTGTTTTGGGAATCCAATGGCTTAAAACGTTGGGTCCCATTGTGACTGATTATACAGAAGCTCACATTGAAATTCTTCAAGGATGGCAAATATGTTAATTTAAAGGTCTCACATCCCTCATAAAACCCATTAATATTTCGGCCCAATAGATGAAACGATTGGTCCAAACCAATGCTACCCATATAATCCATACCCCTCCCTCTGACCCACCAACACACCCATTTCCTCAAATACAATCAATCCTTCTCAAATACTCTTCTCTCTTCTGAAATCCAACAACATTACCCCTATTGCACCTTTCAAATCATTTTATATACTTCCTTGCCAACATTGGTTAATGTCCACCCATATCGATACCCACACTTCCAAAAGTGTGAAATTGAAAACCAAACAGAATCTATGCTTCTATGCTGCAAACAACGCTGATTCAGCCTAGTCTAAGTTCATTTTCCTGTTCGGTTCTTTTGGTCAAGAAGGATGGGAGTTACCAATTTTGTGTCGATTTTTGAGCTCTATATGTGATCACCATCAAGGACCGTTTCCCCATACCAACCATCAACGAGCTACTCGATGAATTCGAGGGCACTTCCTAGTTTTCCAAATTGGACCTTCACCAAGTGTTTAACAAAATTTGGATGCAAGAGATAGAAATTTCAAAAACCACGTTCCACACTCATCAAGGGCATTATGAGTACAAGGTTATGTTATTTCACCTTTGCAATACTCCTTCCTCTTTCCAAGCAACCATGAAAAACTTCAACCATTCTTTCACAAATTTTTAATGCTATTTTTCGATGATATCCTCGTTTATAGTAGCTTTTTGAAAAAACATTTTTCCAATTTGGAGCAAATATTCCTCATACTTTTGGAAGCACAACTCTATCTGAGGGGGTCAAAATGTGGATATGTTGAACAACAAATTGAGTACTTGGACATTTGGTATCTACTCGAGGTGTGAAGCCTAATTCCTCAAAAATCTAGGTTATTAGGTTATTGTTGATTGGCCAACACCTACATATGTCAAGGCATTATGAAGGTTCTTAGGCTTATACAACCACTTCATTAAAGATATGCATCCATAGCTGCCCTTTTGACTGCGTTACTACTTAAAGATGGTTTCTTTTGGAATCCTGAAACCCAATTGGCTTTTGTTAAATTGAAGTGCGCAATGACTGAGGTTCTTGTGTTGGGTCTTTCCGAGGGAGGATTTATTGAAGAAAGACAACACCAATGAGACATGAGCATAACCTACATAAGGGATTAATACCACTCTCAACCCAAAACCTTAAGGCATTGTGTTATGGGTCTTCCTTCCTTATATGTTACTCAATTTTCTCATTCTTATTCAATGTAGGACTTAGACTCACACTTGGATCTCCCAACAATCTCTTTTCAAGTGTGAATCCCTCCACATTAGTATACTCCCTAGAGCTCACTAGTGACCCTTCCATATACCATCGTTCATCATAACGGGACACGCTTACCTGACCCATTATCAGGAAAACTTTCGATACAAGAATCACTCTTAAACTACCAGTTACCACACAAACCATCAACTTTGATACCACTGTTGAGTTTTTTCGAGGGGGGATTCACCGGGGAGAGACAACACCAATGAGATATAAGTCCAACCCATATAAGTGATTGACACCACTCTCAACCAAAAACCTTAAGACATTGCATTATGGGTCTTTCTTCCTTATATATTGTTCAACTTTCTCATTCTTACTCAATGTCAGACTTAGATTCACACTTGGATCTCCTAACATTTTGTCCTAATACTTCCAAACCATACAATACCCTTCATCGTTGAAACTAATGTTTCATGATTAAACACAGGGTGGTTCTATGCAAAGAGGTCACTCCATTGCTTTTAATAGTAAACCTTTTTGTCCCAAATTACTGTGTGCCTCCACTTATGTTTGAGAGTTACACGCCATTTCTGTTGCTGTGAAACAAATGGCGACAACACCTTCTCGAACACAAGTTTATCATTATGATAGATTATCAAAGCTTGAAGGAGCTTATGTCACAGACAACACAAATTAAATGTGGTGGTCGATACTCTCTTTGGCCCACAAGAAACTCAAGCTAGTCAATTTTTTGTACTACCAATGCCTAACTTCATGCTCCTGGAACAACTCTGCAAGAGCATGCATGACAATTGAGAATTTTCTCTTCTTTTCAAAGAGGTCCAAGAAAACCCAGAGGCACATTTGCAACCTTTTGTTATATAAAGGGAAAATTTGGATCAATTAAGGGAATCGATTCATTGTTGTTTTGATATAAGAGTTCCATGCTACCGCTCTCGGTGGACACACATGGGTGTTATTAAAACTTTAATCCATCTCCAAGAAGATTTCTTCTGGCATAAGATGCAAATTGATTTTCAACAATTCATTTCTAGTTGCTTAGTTTGCTAACAAACCAAGTATGAAACCAAGCGTCTTGTAAGGCTCCTACAACCCTTGCCTATCCGTCTCAAGCCTTGGATGGATTTGTCACTTGATTTTATCATTAGTCTTTTGAATTTTCATGGCAACATGATGATACTAGTTGTGGTTGACAAGTTTTCAAAAGGAGCCCATTTCGGTGTGCTACCAACACAATTCGTAACCTTCAAAGTAGTCTAACTTTTTCTAGATCTTGTGTGCAAATACCATGGTTTTCCTCACAATCTAGTCTTGGACCATGATCTTGTTTTCATTAGCAAGTTTTGGCGGGAGCTCTTTCATTTGAGTGACACCAAATTACAAATGAGAATCTCTTATCACCCAAAAATCGATGGGCAAACAAAAGTTATGAATTGAACCTTAAAGCAGTGGTTGCATGCTTTTGTACATAATCAACCTTCATATTGGGGTGAGTTTTTAGCTTTGGCTGAGTGGTCTTACAACACCACTACTCACTCTTCCACTGGTCTCTCTCCTTACCAAATCACCTATGGCAAAACTTCCTTTCCATTCCCCATTATCTCACTTGTACTTTTGTCGAGGCCGTGGATTCTCTCTTGACCACACAACGAAACACCTTGGATGCCTTGAAAAGTAAGTTAAAAAAGGCACAAAGTCAAATGAAGACATCTGCTAATAACAAGAGCCACCCTATTGATTCCAATATTGGGGACTAGGTATATGTGCATTTACGCCTTTACCACCAAAGTTTTATTTGTGGATCCCTATACCTCAAAGCATTTCAACAAACCTTATTGTACCACTGCTTACATTGGTCCAATTGATTACAAGCTTGATTTACCTATAGAATGCAAAATACACCCTATTTTGCACTGCTCATTGTTGAAATTACGTATTGGACCACTAAGTGCAACTCCTTCACCCTTGCCTACTATGGTGCATGTCAACATGCTAGTCATTGAACCCTTGGCCATTCTAGATTAAAAAATCAACACAACCATCACCCTTCCAACTCGGATGATACTAGTCCAATGGCTAGGAATAGCTTCGGAAGACACCACTTGGGAGGATTGGGAGAATCTTCGCAATCAGTTTCACCTTGAGGGCAAGGTGAATTTTCTTGGGGTGAGTAATGTTAACGACAATGACCCACTAGTTCATGAAGTGGAGCAAAAGAATTGGGCTGAAGTTGAGAAAGAGCCTAAGACCACGGTGCTCAAAAGGGTGAGTACAAAACCATCTTACCTCAAGGATTAACCGTAGTGAAGACATTATCCATGAGGGAAAAATATTATTATGAGGTGTCTTTCAATCATAGGTTTAATTGTGAAATTATTCCTTTGGTAGCTTTTTCATTTTCCTAAAATGCAGGTAACCAATCTTTGGCAGCTCTGTATATATATATATATACACTGATAATGAATGAAAGGAGACACAAAATTTTTTTATCTCCATGTCCTTTTTATACTCTCTAATTTCTAGGAGGTAGCCTTGACCTCAAATAAAGGTGGTTCTTTTCTTATCAAAACATGATAGTAAAAACATCATGCTATTTTCTTGACAAACACACAAGTTTATCCTAAACTTTTCATTAACTACTATTTTATGTATCTCAATGATATTTAATCCTAATGGCGTCAATTGACCAACCTACTTAACTCCTAAGGCTTGGTGGTTTTTGTTATTGATTCTTGATTTCCTTGAGTATTGTTGTTGTGGTTAGGACCTAAAATTGGACCAATGATTCTAGCACATAACTAATTCTCGAGAGTTGAAACAAAGATAAATTTGTTATTCCTCCTAGTAAATAACCTTATGTGAAATAAATGCCACATCAAAATAATAGAAGTCTTTAATTATGTGGAAAAATTTAATCAAGTAAAAAGCCCTGCAAATATTACGGCACATTATTCTTTTAAGTTGCAGTAGAAGGTAATAGAAAGAGTACCTGGTTTGTCAGTTCATCAGTCTCCTCTTCAGCTTCATCATTATCCAAGGCATCATCTATAGCATCTGACATCATTTCAGTCTGCTCATAAATTATATATCATTAAAGTCCGTAAGTTGTTCAAACAAAACAATGATTCCTGTTTTACTAACTTCAAAAATTAGTAAACAAAAACATCATCTTACAGTCATATCCATCTGTGCTGATTGTTTCTGGAAGTCCTGTATAATTTTAGCCTGCTTTGCGGGTGCCATTTCCTGCAATGAATCTTCTAATTTAGCACAGGGGAAAAATCATAAAAATGGTATAGCAATTAGTATAAAGGCTTTAATTTCGATGTTTTGTTTTTTCTGAGGAAGTTAGAACAAGTGCTGTTATCATTTCTGTTTCCGGATACAGCCTTTTTCCTTTGGGTTTCTCCTCAATGTTGGATATATATATATATATATATATATATATATATATATATATATATATATATATATATATGCACGCCATCCATTTTATTCTTCTAATTCTCATTTCCTTCCCTCATGCGTGCATGTGATAGAAGGGGAGAAGAAGAGCAGTAATATCTTTCACAAAATTTAGCAAAAGAACAATGTCATGCATGCCCTTGAATTTTGTGGAAATCTAAAATCTAACAAACCCCTCGGTAAACCCTAAATGTGAATAAACTTTATGTTCCAAATCCTCAACCTTTTACAAACTTGCAGATGGATTAATGATTAAACATAAAAATGCATTCATGTAAGCATTTGCTTCACATCTGTATTGGACACATACCAATACTTTTAGATATGTCACAGATATGTATTTTTGAAGACGTATAGAAGTATTGTTTGTAGGCAATAAGGCAAAGATTTACGATGTCAATGATTCATCACTTGTACTTAGTAATGTTGAATAAGTATGCCATTAATTTGGATTTGCAAAATTGCAACTCTGTATTAAGTTTCACGAATATTTGTACACGTCCTGCATGTATCATATCCTATAAACTTTAAAAGTAGTTGTATCACCATATTGGATGCATACATATTCAATGCACTTCATATCTATGCATCATAGGTAAACCTAATTAAATGTAGCTCTCATGGCCCAGAAGCAAATATATAATGTATGGACAAGCTATATATATATAGAAAGAGAGTATAAGATCGAATGTGCAACCTTATTGATAGCTGCCATTGCCTTTGTAGCACCTTTCATACCAACAGCAACAGAAGAATGGGCATGCATCGCCTGCATCAAATGACAAACACGTCTAAGACAGGGCAAATAAAGCATGTACCTACTCTCAAACACAAGTAGCAAAGGAAGACAAATAAACACAACACAAAAACAAAGTCTCCATCTACAACGCACCTGTGTGTGAGTTGCTATGCCTCTCATCTGAGCTCTACTACCTTGAAGATTAGCAATTTGTTGCCTAAGCCTGACCAACTGGCGTGCTAGAATTTTAGTTGCTGCCTGAGAACAAAAAATCCATTTTTAAATAAACTCTGACCGACTGATCAAAGTCTGCAAACAAACACATGAAAAAACCTCCAACTACAAGCATGAAATGCATATGATACCTCATTCCCTGTCTTAGCAGTTCTCTTTATCTCAGCAACAAGCTTCTTTTCCTAATAACACAAACAAATAGTTCATATTATAAAAAATATAACACAAGTTGAGATTACAAAAAAAAACGGATAACCACATTCTCTCGTCAAGTAACTATGTAACATACTTCCAATTGTAGTGCTCCAATTTCCTTCTCTACACCTGAAATAAGGAAACATATTATTATCACAATAGTGGAAATCTCACACCTTATTCTGACCAAAAATGATCATAAACACACGAAATTCAAAGGAAAATTGATCGATGAAAGGGTTTAAGAGGTTGATTGAAACATTACATCACCTCTAGTGGCGTTTGTCATTTGTCGTTTACTCTCACGAAGAGCCTCTGCAGGAAATAGAAAGAAGGGATTCTAACCAAACTAAAACGTGAAAACTAATCGGAAACGAACGCATCCCAAACATGACGGTAATTCAATTATTATTAGCCGAGAATGGAAGCTATGACTGGGAAGAAGAAGAACCTTTGGCAGTGGGTTTCTTGGAGAAGATGTTCATGGCGATCAGTGTGTGTCACCGTCGAAGGCAAACTACGAAGAGACCCGCACGACGATGGTGGAAAGAAGAAAGATCCTCGTAACATTATAATCCTAATTTCATGTTTGATGTTGATAATACTACCCTATATTTTTTGTTTGTTTTTTTTTTTTTCCCTCGTTTATATATATATATATATATTAAGATTTTAGTTAATAGAAACCGCGTTGGTCTTGTTCCACCTTGGATTCAACCATAATTTGATATGACCAATACTCCCTTTAATTGACTTTTAAACCCGCCAATGAACCCTATAAAATCCCTCTATACCTTTCTATCTTACTATTATAATAATAATAATAATAATATTTCAAATATATTTGGTAAAAAAATTATAATATTTTTATTTCTTTTTTTCAATCCATTATTATTTTATATCTTATCTTTAAGTTGAATTTTAATGTTTAAGTACAATATCAAAAATAAAAATGACACTATATTATAATAAAATTATTTTTTATAAATTTAAAATATAATTTATATTTTAAAATAATTTGTATTATAACTTTCAATAAATGTTTAATGTTGAAATAGGGGTTGATTAAAGTGAGTTTTAATTTTTTTAAAATAGTAGAGTAGAATAATTTTTTAAATGTAAATATAATCATTAGTACATAAAAATATTAAGAAAAAAAATTGTTGGATTGATGTTGAATGAAAAAGAAAATAATAACAATTTTAAAACCATATTCCATCGTTTAATTACAAAAATTAATTAGCAATCAATATTTTTTATTTGTCTTTTTCATATTAAATATCCTTAAAATTTATTATATTCCTCGTGGGTAAGACACATATAACATAATAATATGAAGCATATATGAGATTTTCAATATGTTTCCTTAATATTAAATAAAAGGTATTTTTATTAACAAAATGATAACTCATAACTCAAAACAAGAATAAAAAAAAAAAGTTTTAATTTTAATATTATATTAAGATTTTACCATAAAATTAATTAATATATAAAATAGTTCAAGAAGTATTTAAATCATTCTGTCTTATGCGATACCTCAGACCTCTAACTTAACTTCTTTGTATCTTTTATCTTAAAAAACTTTTTGGTCTTTTTTTTTTCATAACCCAAACATGCTCCAACACTAACTAATAATGATAATGAAATCGACTCAGATTTTGTGTCTTTCTCTATTCACGTTACACAAATCAACAACTATAAAGGATTGAGCTCCCATGAACTAATGTTTAAGAGTAATCAACAAAAAAATATCTGTACATCAATCATTATTAACAACTGAGGTAAATAGATCACAACTCAAAGTAGTGTTCTAAAGAGATACATAAGAATTTGAAGATGGTTCTAAATTCAAATATTAGCTACCCAACAAGCAACACTAGTGTAAAAAGAAAAACTTTTCTAATTTACATAACTTTTGAGTATATTTTCACTAGACCCTCTCTTATAATGTCCTTCTTCTTCTTCAAAGGACTCGTGTTTGTCCGTAGATTTGGAGTTACGTTTAGCATGGCCTTCGTGATTGTGATCCCTAGAATATGCTTTTGATCTTGATTTGGATGAACTAACAGCGGAACCATCTTTTGATATCTTGGAGCGTGATTTTTTAGGTGGTAAATCACTGTCTTGGTGGTGCAGGGGATAATCATTCGTCTGCATGTGTTGGTCGGTGTGTTTGGATTCATGGCATGAATGATGATCATTTGGCTGCGAAGGTTTGGATGACCTTTTTGGATTTCTTGGTCTGTCTGACTTTTCCTTTGCACGGGACTCTCTCATGTTCCCCGTTGAATTTGATTGTCGTTTTGATTTGGCCGAGTCCAGTAAGTGACTGTCATCACTGTGTCTATTCACAGACCTTGAACTTCTTTCCATTGAATCTGCACAGACACATTTGCAGCAACAAGGTTTGAAATTGAATATATAGGAGACAATCTTGTTAAAATGTGGATCTAACTTTTTCTCTTCACGTATGATACATGCATACAACACCCAAAAACTATCATTTTTAATGCATGGTTCAATTCAGAGTTTTATTTTTTATGAAAATGGCCACACCAACTTGTTAGATTGGTAAATAATAAGCTATTATTTATCATTTGTTGATTTACAACTTTGTTATTACTGTCATTCACTCATTTCATCTAAATGAAACATGATAGTTGGGTTAGTTTGACTTTTAAATTGCAGAAAGAGATGTTTTGCATGGAAACACCATATTATAATCTGTACCTTCAGAGGCCCTTTGGATTGAACTATCGGATTCTTTGCTATGAATGCCTCCTTTATGATCTTTAGGTGCAGATGAATTCCCTGGGACAGATTTAAACTCGTTCATCTGAAACAAGCGAAGTAATGCTCCAATGGCTTCTTAAAATGATGCAAAATTTACATACACATACAAGTATATGTTTGATAATCATTATTCTAAGAGAAACATAAGAAATAGAAGACACATTAACAAAACCATTTTTATAGTATTTCCTTCATAGTATAAGAGTAGTTATTTGAACATGTTAATATTCATTAGTTAACAGTAAAATTTCTGGGAAAAATAGAGAATTACCCAGGAGGGATTATTGTCAGACGGACCTTGACCATCATATCCAATATGTGCTACATGCTTTACATCTGTGGGATGACCAATCTCAATTACTGAATCTTTGCCTTCATTATCTGCCAAGTAGTATTCCTTTGATTAATCACCATCATCTTTCTTCAACTTCTATATGTATTTGAGAATGGATAGAAAGACTAATGCCCTGCACGTACCGAATATCTGAGAAATGAATCTTAGGCCTTTAAGGAGACCCTTCACCTTGTTGTTATTATTGTTGTTGGACATGTTGAAAAAATCTTATGCCTTCACTTCTCTTAACACAATTAGTAATTATGAATTAAGCTTTACTCTTAGACTTCAGAAATGGAAGATAATTTCAACATATTGAATTTGAGACCATTGATATAAATCTAAAGGAATTTCAGTGACGAGGGCTTTATCCACAATGTAATATCTCACGTGGTAAAGTTGTCCCTGAAGGGCCTGATTTGAACAAATGTTCATAGAGAAACCATAAATGAGGATATAAGGCTTATATTTTAACACTTTTTGCTTGATACTCAGAACCTGAAAACATGGTCTGGTGATTTTAATGTCTATTACCAGAACAGGGATATGAATGCTGGAAATACCCATTTTTACTTTGGTTGATTAATTATGCGGTGATAGTTGACTGTTGATTTTCCCCTTCAATCAAAACCAGAAGCTGATCGAAATTTCAGGCCTGACAATAGGATATTTTAAAGGAAAATAAACCAATTTTATATAAACACTAAGTTAATTATATTTGTTACTGGTATCAAATGAATTCATTTAATTTCCATTCTCTTTTGTTTCTTTTACGTGACAATGTATGTCGATTTTTTTTTCATACGTCACAATGTAACTGGATTTTATACTTTACAATTTATCTGATTTGATTTCAATTAAATAAAAATAGTCTGATTGAAAAAAAAAGATTTTTAAAATTGGTTGGAAAATTTGTAAAACTGCTCTACTTAATTGTTTTCTTAATTTGATTAAACAATCAATTAATGACAATATAATAAATAATTTACTTATGGGATGTTTCTTTATATTTATAACAAATTAATTTTTTATAATGATATTTTCAATATGAATATGCTCATTTCTTTTTAACATAAATTTAAATATATTGAGTGGAAAATTATTAGAATGCACACGCAGTCTATAATTGATTACAATTAATACTATAAACAATTATTTTAAATAATATAAGAATATTATTTAAACCTACCCTTTGAAGAAATATATATATATCATGAATATTTTTTAGGATAGTTTTGCTCGAATCCCGTTAGACCACTATCAGTCGTAAATATTATGAAATGATTTATTTGTTATTTTCAATTTATTATTTACGTTGTTTCTATCATTTTTTTAATTTTGTGTGTGATGTTGTAAATATATTAATATGCTATATTTTTAAAAAAATGTTATAATTACTTAAAATTTATTAATTTACTGGATGTGAATTAAAATGAAAAATCTAATTAAAAACATTTTTGGATGAAAATAATAATTATGATGATAAATTGATAAGAAGGGACATATGTTTTAAATGAATAGAAAAAAATTAAAATAAAGAGAACAACCCTAAAACATGATCATCATTGAAATAAATATAAATAATAATAATAATAATGTAAAAATACAAATATACCTGTCAAATAGAAAATAATGACATTCATTTTTTACTAATGATACTTATTTTTATCACATGCTATCCAGAGCTTAATAACTCACATTAAGTGAATTAGAAACGTTTAGTCACACAAAAAAAAAAAGTCTAAACATGCTCCTTAATTTATTTATGCATGATAAATCTTTAATTTGTTTTACTAATTAGTTTTATAAAACAAAATCACTAACACTCACTGTAATAGAAATCTCTGTCATTTTATAATTTCCATGTTTTATATAATTTATAAGTGAGATCCAAAGAAAAGTAGTGATTTCCAAAAACATTCTAATCAATCATATAAAAAATCTTAAAAATAAACTACTCTAACCGTTGCACTTAACTTAAATTTGTTTAAAATTCATACCAAATCAAACGAATATAATATAAAAATACTTTTAAATTATGACATGATTAAAATAATACTTTTTTATATATATGATTTTAATTATTTGAAATAGAACAGGTTATTGAAAAGTACAAGAGAGAAAAAAATATCATTAAAAGGATAGACAAAAGAAAAAAATATATAAGATAAATATTTTATTAATTTTTTAAAATCTATATATATATATATATAATTTTTAATTATTTCATTTATATTTAAGAGAAAAAATTGAAAAAACATGTAAATGAAAAATAAAATAGATAAAAAAACGAATAATAAATGGAATAGATGATAGAAAAAATATAAAATAAATGTTTTATTAAACGATTAAATTTGGTTAAAATAAATTCCGTTTTCATGTTATTAATGGTAGATTTTAAAATATGATTTTAACTAAAACCGTATTGAGTATGTATTTCACGTTACCAATATATTTGCCTCGCCTTTCACCTATCGTATAATTTTTTTTGTTTTCATAACAAATTGTAAGTTAAAAAAAATAGTTAATATTTAAAAATAATTTTAGAAATTAGTTTTGAAAAATTATTTTTAAAATGAGACAGAAAAAAAAGTTAGTTTGATAATACTACTTTAAAAAGTGATTTAGATAAAAAAATATAAATGATATATAATTATTGATAAAAAAAGGAAAAATATTATTAATAAAATAAAAAATTACAAAATAATTTTTTTTAAATTGATTTAATTTTTTTAATTAATTTTTAAAAATGAAAAACACATTTTTAAAAGTAATAAAAAAAAGGTGTTTGAATTGAATTTTCTGTTATTTTTCGCGTTAACAATGACAAGTCGCATAAGAGATAGCAACACAATTGATATTCCGATTGTCATTGTTAAGAGAAATTTAATAAAGTTCCGAGTAAAGAACTTCTGCAACCCAAAAAGAAAAGAAAGGATGACAGTTAAAAACATCAAAGAATACGGAAACGGTAACTGAACATAGAAAAATTAGTTGTCGTGTTTAGGTTTCGAAAGGGTTTTTGCTTGTGTTTACTTTCAATGGCGACGGCGGGGTTGTATAGACGCCTTCTTCCTTGCCCCCCAGCCGTCGAATTTGCTTCCTCGCAAGGCAAGGTATCCCTGTCTCTTTCTCATAGCTCAATAATGAGAATGAATGAACATGGTAACGTTTTTACTCACTTTTTCTTTGTTGGTTTAATTTCAGGAACTTTTTCTAGAAGCCATTCACAATGGAACCATGGAAGGCTTTTACAAGTTGGTTTCCCACTTCCAAACACAATCCGAGCCCGCTTTCTGTGGCCTCGCTAGCTTGTCCATGGTCCTCAATGCTCTTGCCATTGATCCTGGCAGGAAGTGGAAAGGTACAGTTTATGCTTCTATACTGACCTAGTCTCTGTGATTAAGCTTTTTGGACAAAATTCTTTAAACACTTCTGGGAAAAAAATAGTTTATGCATAAATTAAAATTTAAATATCAGATAAGTTAAATGATAGTGTTTCTACAAATAAATTTATGATTAGCTTGAGATATTTATTTTAATTATTTTTCTTATTTTTGTCTTCTAAAAAAAGGTTCATAGAAATTATTGTCCAAACATATCCTAATTATGAATCAATCTTAGGTTAAGTCAATTGTAATGCTTTGGTTTGATTGTCTTGATTTATCTGCAGGCCCTTGGAGATGGTTTGATGAATCTATGTTAGACTGTTGTGAATCTCTAGAAAAGGTCAAAGTTAAGGGCATCACGTTTGGGAAGCTAAGGTGTTTGGCTCAATGTGCTGGAGCCAAAGTTGATTCCTTTCGTGCTAGTCATAGCAGCATTAATGATTTTCGTAAATATGTCATCAAGTGTTCAATGTCTGATGACTGTCACGTAATCTCCTCATACCATAGAGCTGCCCTTAAACAAGTATGTAGGACACATGAAACTTTCCATGCTGATTAGTTTCCTATGGAAAAAAAAAAACAGTACACACATTTGGTGCATATTCTTAATTCTACATGGTTTGACTTTATTTTGTTGACAGACGGGAGCTGGTCACTTTTCTCCTATTGGAGGATATCACGCTGGAACGGACATGGCACTTGTTTTGGACGTTGCACGATTTAAGTATCCTCCCCATTGGATCCCTCTTAAATTTCTTTGGGAAGGCATGAATTATGTGGACGAGGCCACCGGACAAACTAGAGGGTAAACTTTCTTATTTTCTACTATTTTTTACTGACCTTGTAGCCTATTTAATCACAGTCCATTTGTTGGAATGTTGCTGAAAGTTGAGATCAACAACCACAACAAATATGCATAAGGGTGGGTACAGAAAGAACTGAGCGTTTATTATACATAAGAAACTCTGTAGCTAGGACTGTAGTGGATCAATTTAAGCAATAAGAAAACTTAACACCATTTTCTTTTTGTTACATGGCTTAAGTGATTTGCTCAACACTTTTACCCGTTTCAGGTTCATGCTTGTATCAAGACCTCATAGGGAACCTGGATTGCTTTATACTCTGGTATTTCTCTTTTTATTAAGTAATGACTCAGGGTTTTACGTTTCAGGATATAGTAAACAATGTTGGTGTGTGCATTAATTTTTTGGATAATTTCTTTAATGATGAACACGCGTAGGCACGTGCATTTCTTCAATCTAGTGCTTAGTTCTCTGCTTTTGTGATATGGTGAACTTGTTCTTAAGAGCGAGCATGTTGATTTATTTCTGGTTTGTATTATCTTCTAGTCAGCAATAATGTTTCTTGTGAAGTGAACTACAATTTCCATTCCCAATCAAAGAAAATACCTTGGTTGTCATCTTTCTCCTATGAATTTATTATCATGTTGACACAATAATTCTGTCAGTTGAACTAGAGATGCTAATAAGGATTACACAATAGTTGAACAAAGTTTAATTGATTAATGATTTATTTGTGGTACATTCATACAAAGGATGGAAAGTCAATTTGCACCATGTAGTTTGGGCCATACTTGTTTTAACTCATCTTGATTCATGCATTCCTTCTTACCTTAGCAATCCTGTGAATTCTGGAATTACGTTAGTACACGTCATCACTGTAGCATGTGTTTGTGGAGTGTCATGTTTGTGTTTTTCATTGTTTACATCGGTGTGGGTTGGGTATCTTGTGTGTGTTTGTTAGTTTGTCACTGTTTTTATTGTTTATGTTGGAATGGGTTCTATGGATTTTGCAGAGTTGCAAACATGAGAGTTGGATTAATATTGCAAAATTTCTCATGGATGATGTTCCTCTTCTATTAAAGTCAGAGGATGTGAAAGATGTTCATCAGGTTCTTTCAATTATAGTCAATTCACTGCCATCTAATTCTGAACAATTCATCAAGTGGGTTGCAGAGATCAGGAGGCGAGAGGATGGTGGTCCAAGTCTAAGCGCAGAGGAGAAGGCAAGGCTTGCTATCAAGGTTCAATATTTCCAATCTTATGTATTGTGTATTCTATTTTGGTCTCTATAATCCTTAGTAACTTTTTATTATGCAGGAAGAGGTATTGAAACAGGTACAGGAGACTGGCCTTTTTAGACATGTATCTTCCTTTTTGTCAAATTCTTGCAGCAGGGAATCATCAGATGATGAAAATGCATTACCTGTCATTGCTGCAAGTGTTTGTTGCCAAGGAGCAGAAATTTTAAGTGGGAAACATTGCTCACCAGCAGGGTATAGCTGTCAAGTTACATGTATGAAACGCTTGAAAGCTGAAGATGACAAACCAATAACAATGGTTTCTGGGACTGTGGTAAATGGTAACACTGAGCAAGGGGTTGATGTGTTGATTCCTTCATCATGTAGGAAATTGGCTTGCACTTGCTCTGGCCCAAGTAAGTACATGAGGATGCATCCAGCTAGCACTGATGTGCTGACAGTGCTTCTACTGTCCTTACCATCTACAACATGGGCTGGCATAACCGATAAGCAGCTTTTGGCAGAATTACATGGTTTGGTTTCAACTGAAAATCTTCCCACTTTGCTTCAAGAAGAGGTTTGTATATCTCATCTGTTTGATAATTTTTCTTACGTTGCATGTCAGCACTGTATCCTCCTAATTCTATTCAGTCTTCAACTTCAACTCACTATAAACAATTTTGCATAGGTTCTGCACTTGAGACGTCAACTTCACCTTCTCAAGAGATGTCAAGAGGGCAAGGTTGATCAGGATCTTGGTGCTCATCTCTCTTAGCATCTCCCATCTTTTTTTATCATCCATCTCAAGGCCAACCCAGTTTTCCAGAGTCTCTTGACAGCTCAAATTTAGATTCCCATACAAGTGTAGAACCACTTTTTAAATTGGTTTTCACCTAATTATTCACAACTGAAGATTTTATTTTCGACTAGTGATTCAGTACCTCATTTACTAATTACATTATTTTTCTAGTTTATGCTAATTCACTCATGCAAATAGTGATCCACTTAAATTGGTTATGATGTTTATGTTTCTGAAATTAAATTTTTTGGTATATTTTTTTAGTTTCTTCTCTTTTGATTGCCGTCGCTGATAGTTTGGTGGCCGCAAAAAAGTATGTAAAAATAAATAAAGATGTTATAAGTCAATCTCAAGTGCATAAAGTCAAAGTTATATGGTTTTCATAAAAAGTTGCATTGGGATTCTAGTTTCATAGCCTTCCCTTGTCACGTAAAAAGTTTGCATTGATGTTCAATTTTTTCATATTACTTTAAATATAATTAAATAAATGAAGAAAATTAATAACTAATGTTGTTTAATCACCTCGGTCTTAACTAATGACCATCTATTTATTTATGCTTTGTTCTCTTATCAAGATTTTAAATCTTCCATCAATGACATTCTTGAATATACCGTATAGAAGATACAAAAAGAGTTGACAATGTGGATAAAAGAAAAGAAAAGAAAAGAAAAAAATAATGCATACATATAACAAAAATATTTACTCATTTGATATTTACATTTATATAACTATTTCATTTTAGTTTATTAGTTTATAAAATAAAAACATATATAAATAAAGAAATTTATTGTCTTGTATTTTTAGTAAAACTTTATTTACTCTTTATATTTTTCATTACATAAAATTATTCTTTTAAATCTTAAAATATATAATGTAATTTTGTTACTAATGAATTAGTATGAAAAATAATAAAAATGACTTATTTAAAAAAAAAACAGAAGGATAAATTATTTTGTATATAAGAGAAAATTAGTTTATATACATGACAAAAAAATTATAAATTATTTTGTATATAAGTTAAGTTTAATTTATGAAAAAAAATATTATTTTTCTTTATTCAAATAGAATTTGTGTTCATCTCCTATTAAAATAATAAAGGCATGTACAGGTAATGCTGTTGGAACAGGAAGAGAGAGGGAGAAAGGAGAATTGGAGAAGAAGAAGAAGAAAAAGAAAGAGGGAAGTGAACATAGTAAGTAACGGTAATTAGTTACGTTCACAAACACTGTAGCGGCAGTTGCAAGAGAAGGTTCTGTGTGCATGGCGAGCCCAGGTTTATACCGCAGACCGCTCCCTTCCCCTGCAATCGAGTTCTCTTCGTCCGGAGGCAAGGTTAACGCTCTTTCTCATCATTCCAATTCCCTAATTTTCCCTTCAACTCTTTGATCCATTCATTGTTCCTTGCACAGAAGCTGTTCTGGGAAGCTCTTCAGCATGGAACCATGGAAGGCTTCTTCAAGCTAATATCGTACTACCAGACACAATCAGAGCCTGCATATTGCGGTCTCGCCTCTCTTTCCGTTGTCCTCAATGCCCTTGCTATTGACCCTGGAAGAAAATGGAAAGGTATATTGGTATACTAATCATCTTTCTTTTCTTTTTTTCTTGTTTTGAATGTATGAAAAGGAAAGGTCGCCTAACAGGTCCTTGGAGATGGTTTGATGAGTCCATGCTGGATTGCTGCGAGCCTTTGGATAAAATTAAACTGGAAGGCATTACGTTCGGGAGAGTTGCGTGTTTGGCTCGATGCAATGGAGCTAAGGTGGAAGCCTTTCGATCGGATCAAAGCTCGGTTGATGAGTTTCGCAACCGTGTGCTTTCGTGCTCTTACACTGAGGATTGTCATGTGATTGTGTCTTACTATAGGAGAACTCTCAATCAGGTGGTGTAAAATTCATTGGTTGATCATAACTCATGTTTAGTTGACTTTGATTAGTCCTGCTTCACTTTATACGTAGTTGGTGAATTCAATGTTTAAGGTCCTTTCTTTATAGATGCACTTATCGTTGAGTAGTGTAGGAAATGGAAAGCGACATGAGTTATAGAAATGATGGGAATTTGTCATGTTGTTGGGTAACAGACTGGAAATGGGCATTTTTCACCGCTTGGAGGATATCATACTGGAAGGGATATGGTCCTTGTATTGGATGTTGCTCGTTTCAAGTATCCTCCTCACTGGGTTCCCCTTACCCTTCTCTGGGAGGCAATGAGCACCATAGATCAAGCAACCGGACTTCCAAGGGGGTAACGCTAAGATCTCATACTGCCAATTGAGTATATAAGCATAATAGCTGATAGCGTCTTTAGAAATGCTGGCGAAACATTCTTTATTTCTCAATGTATTTTGTAAAATTTCATCAAAATACCCCTTTTACTATTATTTCCTTCAAATTTGTTGCACTTCTCGTTTTGCCAAAACTAAAACTTCCTGTATGTTGTGTGATAACTGGTTTTAATTAGTGAAAATATTTTAGTAGTCAGTATATTTTCATCTCTTGTAGGGTTATATTTCTTCTGATTCAAGTTTATGAACTTCGAAAAAATGGTAGTTTTTCTTGGCATGTTATGCTTCAAACAACTAAGTTATTATTTATGCCCTGGTGCATTCACATTAAAAAACAGAAATCCGAATGGTTAAACTCCAGAGAATAGTTTTTGTTTAAAATTATCGAAGATAATATTCACTGATTTTCAAGTTTTGGTGAATTAGTTTGAATAATTTATAAACTCGTAAATCTTTCGAGTCTTATTTTTTTTTTGGATTTTTCTCAGGTAACAAGTTCCATTGTAATCATGTTGTACAACTTGTGAGAGAATCGGATGGAAGTCAAAATATCTTTACCTCATACCATAGGCATAACAATTATTTGATTATATGCACTAAATTTTTGTATATCCCATGTATTCTATCCACATTTATCTTCGTAGTTGTTATATGATGGTGTAATTTGAAAAACGTACTATTTGAATGTATCAGTGTCATTAAAATCTTTCTAGTTGCTATGATTAAAGGATACGATTTCATGAACTTTTTTTAGCTTGTTAAGGCTCTTCAACCAGTCTTCTTGCCTCTATTTATATTTGGAAATTTGTATTTTCAGGTATATGCTTATTTCAAGGCTTAACAGAGCACCGTCTATACTTTATACTATGGTATTGTGCTACTGATTGATTCTTTTTTGAACCATTGGAGAACATATATAAAATTTCTAAAATCATGAGTTTTAGAGGAAAGGTAACCTGACTTACTATAAAATTGTAATGGTTAGGTCAGCTAGAAATAATTTCTGAAATTATATTGAACAATAAAATGTCTTACCCATACATAGATCATCTTAAAATATGGAGTGTCATTGGGAGGTCTGGATCCTTTTTCACTTGTAGGAACTGTAATGGTTGAACATATATGTATGTTATGCTTTGTCCAAACAATTTCTCTTTATAGACTACGGTAAATAGTAAATAAATACTTAAAGATTATCTGCAGAGTTGTAGACATGAAGGTTGGAGCAGTGTAGCCAAATTTCTAACTGAAGATGTCCCTCAACTTCTGAAGTCAGAGGATCTAAAAGACATTCAGGAAGTACTGTCTGTTGTTTTTAAATCGCCTCCTGGTGAATTGAGAGGATTAATAACATGGATTGTTGAAGTTCGCAGACAAGAAGATAGGAATCTCACATTGAGCGACGAGGAGAAAGGACGGCTCGCTATCAAGGTTCTGACTCAACGTCCTTTTTTGTTTATTGGGGTGTGGGGATATAATATGTCACCCTTGAATTTGTCAAATGCGTCATTTGCATAATTAGGAATTTCCAATAAATGAACAATCATATTACTGACATTTCAAATTTCAGGCTGACATACTGCAACAGATTCGGACAACTACACTTTTCAAACACGTGACCAGGTGGTTGGATTCTGAAACTTCATGCTGTAAAACTAATGAAAACCTTGGTGACAAAGATACGTTAGCAGCTGTTGCCACCGGTGTTTGTTGCCAAGGAGCAGATCTTTCGACTGGTTTTGGTAAGCTAGGTTTGTCGGGTGGAAAATGCTGTAGTCAAATGGAGGTAAAACATCTGAATGTTGATAGCGAAAATCCAGTAACATTAGTTTCAGCAACTGTTACAACTGGTCGTGGGAGTGAACAAGGAGTTGATGTGTTGGTCCCTTTGTGTCAAAGGGAGCCAAGTAGGTTGTGTGTTTGTAATGAAGGTCACTGCATAGGAATGCATCCATCTACTGCAGATGTCTTAACGGTACTTTTATTGGCCTTGCCCTTGCTTACGTGGTCGGGCATTAAAGAAGAAAAGCTGCGAGTGGAAGTTTTGACCCTTCTAGCAACAGAAGATCTCCCTCCCCTGCTTCGGGAAGAGGTAATGTTGACTTCTTCAAAACTGGTTATCATTTTTTCCTTCAATCTAAACTCTGAAAAACTACTAAAATGAATTTTTGACTTGATAAAACTGTGGACAACGAAAGAACAATTTATATGGTGCTTAAAAGCCACGTGCCTATCTTTCTTTCATGGTAAATATTTTATAATAGGACTCCATTTTTTGTAAATTTCCTTACAAAGCTCTCATGTCTTGGGTATGAACTGTTTTTCTTTCCTCAATGTACCACAAAAGGGTGAATTCCACACCTTGATTTTTTATTTTTTATTTTTCACCCAAATTAATTTTATCACACCAAGTTTAAGACTACCTTTTAATTCATCAAGTTTCATAAACATAAGTTTCATTTGAGATTCTAAAATGCTCCTTTTGCTCGTAGAACCATGATTATAAATAATCATTTTTTATCAAATATCCATTCACACCTACCTTTTTTTTATTATTATTATTTATTTATTTTATTTCATCTTCTTTTCATCAATCAACTAAAAAAAATATTATTTTAAAGTTATTTATTAAATGTTTGAAAAATATTGGTTATCAAAAAAATCTTTTTCCTTGTTCAGAATATCGTTAAAACATGTAATAGGCAGGCCATTTACCATTTCATTAGCATACAAGGAGCATATCCAGTGGAGAATGAGGGGTGAGAGAGGTTAATCTTGGTCTATGAAAGGTCAAGATTGTTCTAATCTCATCTAGTTTAATTATATATAATGAGTTTATTAATATGAGCAATCTAAATTTCAGTTCATTCATGTTATTAGTAGCAGGCATGAAAACATTGCACAAAACAAATTCCAGGATGTTTTATTTCTGGTAGAGGGAAAGTTGGAGTGAAGTGAAAGAAGGGAGAGGAGAGAGAAATAGTCTTTTGTTTATTTTGAAAATAAAAATAATCTCATTAACTAATTAATTAAAGTACGCTTTTTTATCTATAGGTTTCTAATCAGGTTATACCAGATTCCATTAGTATTTTTCATTTTTCTAACAAAAAAAATTGATGAATCTACTAAAAGTATTTTTTTTATAAATACTCAAGGAGTAACTTGATATCTTTCATATATATCTACTTTCATATAATTAAAAGTAATCAACGCACTACTACTTAACTATATAAAAGAGTTTTAAAATAATTAAAGTAATATATTTACTGTTATTTTCACGTAATGTTTCTGCATATCTACTTTTATTAAAAAAAATAATAATAATAATCTGATAGCTTGTGATACTTACCAGTCACTCGTGAAACAGGTTTTGTTTTTGCGGGACCAACTGCATTTTCTCATGACGGATATTAGAGCCCCTTCCAGTTTTGACTAATGCAATGGGTTCCGTCTATACGATGACAGACATTGTTTTAGCATCAGGTATGCCATTGCTGTGGTGCCATGCTGAACACTTAAAAAACAACAACTATTGTTTTACCTTTTGTGCAAGAAATTTGGACTGTACAACGTAATTTTGTATGGAAGAATGCGGATTTTGAATAAATTGTAGTTGAAAAGCATGATCAACGGAGTGTACCAAAAAGTGTATTGTGTTCTCTGATAGTTCTCACTTGGGTAATAAATTACGAGAAGTTAAAACAACCCTGTGTGATTTTATCCTATAATATCGATAGACAACAATAATGGGATGTTTATGCATGGTGTATCTTTTGTTTTTCTCCAAATCGATATTTTCTCTTTTAGAAGTGATTCATTTCCTTCAACCATCATTTTGTCAGCTGTTACATGCTTTAATTTTATTAGGAATCAAAATGAATGCAGTAGTTGGCGTCACGTGACAACTAGTAACATCAATGGCTATTATATAATAGTTGCGTATGCACTAAAATATGGCAGTTGGAAACAAGCGAAGATTCACACAAAGTTGATGGCGAACCATGGTGACAGGTTTTTTTGACCATTTCTGTTTCATGATTTGCAACCACCTTTTGTACCACAGTATATATATCTACTGTCCATTTTGCTTGTTTTGTCGGTGCCTAATTTTTATTTTGAGAAATTATATGTTATCGATCACACTCTAGTTCAAATAACCCCTCACGATCCTTTTTCATTAATATAATAATAGTACAAAATTTAATAAAAATAAAAATAAATTATTTTTTTATTATTATTATAATATTAAAAATTAATTATTTTTTAAAGCTTCGTGGATTTGAGTCGTGAAAATATAATTTTCGTTTAATTTTACAATATTACTACTTATTTATGACTGATAGATACTCCCAGTGCTCATCCATTAAAATTAGTTATTATATAAAAATCTAATTGAATATATATAAGATCAACATAAATAAATATATTTCATATTTTATTTTTTTAATTATGTTTATTATAAAAATAGTTAATTGTTACATTATTGAATATTAGTTATAAAATTTAAATATAATATTTTTCTCAAAAGAAAAAATATATTTATTTGTAAATATTTAAAGTTTAATTTAAATTTTTATTTTTTATATTTAAATATCAAAATAAAATATCGTAAAATATTAAAATAATTAACTAATATATAAGAAATATAAAAATTGTATAAATATTTAAATACACTAGTGACATTCACGAGAAGGATTATGTAGACGACGTTTAAATAAGATTGAAGGACACTAATTGACATTTTTTTGGACTGTTAATAGGGTTAAGAAAAGTTGAGTCTAATGAAAGAACTGCGGTAAATAAGTTTTGGATTTTCGTTACAGTAACTTTTCACACAATTTTATCATGTCTGGAACAGAATTGTGTATGAAAGAGATGTTTATTTGATGTAAATTTATTTCTTATATTATTAAGATCTTTATTAATATCTTTAATGTTAGGTCTTGAATGAAATTTTTTATTTCATCACAATATATAAAATAATTTTATTTCATGTTATTTTCGATGTCAAATGTCTAAATTACGTATCCATTACAAGGTGTTTAGTTTATCTCATTATTTAATAAAAAGGATTAGTATCTTATAAATAATTATATTAGAGCTGATTCCGATAATTACTAAAATATTAATAAATTTATTAAAAAATAGACACAAATAAAAAATATATATTATTTTAAAATAAAAAACAAATAAAAATTATCTTATAACACTTTTCTCTATAGAACCAATCTCAAATCACATTTATAAAAAATAAATAAAATGAAGAATTGTTTACATTAATTTAAAACAATAATAAAAAAGATAAAAATATTTTTATTTTTATTTTATTTACAAAAACAACAATAATATTATAATAATAATAATAATAATAATAATAATAATATATAATACCTATTTAAATATTTTTAAATTTTTATAAAATTATTTTAGTTTTAATTTTGATCATAATTTTTTTAAAAGAATTTATTTTTATATAAATAATAATATTTATAAAAATTGAAAACCTCATAAATTTATCATTATTAAAAATTAAAATATTATATTAAATTAATATTTAATTATAAAATTAATTTTTTTAAATCATAAAGTGTAAATATAAATAAAAATTATAAAAATATATATACTTATAAAATTATCCATTAAAACAAAACCTAACATAAGTCGTTTAAAAATACACGAGATAACATGTTTGGTATTACTTTCATTCATCACTTGCTTAGCCCACCAAGCTTGGCGGTTCTTTTGCCCTAAATTCTGCATCTTTTTTTCCTGCTGCACTTAATTATCAATTTTTTTAATTCATCCTTCCTTTTTCTTAATGTGTTCCCTTTTTTTGTTTCAGTCAACTTCTTTAACTTTACACCATAACACATCAAGTTAGGTGATATATTCTGATATGGATTCACTCATTATTAATCTTCATCATTAATAACAAAACTATATTGTCAGAAGGACACTCTTAAAAACATTAAATGCATATTAAAACTAATAAAAATAGTAAATTAAATAATTTTTTTCTTTTATTTATTATTAATAAAAAAATTTACTGATAATATATCAAAATTTAAATAAATTGGCTTCTATGGTTTTAAAGTATATTCAAAAGATAAATATTTTATTATAATTTTATTTTTTTAAATTAAAAAAAATATTTATATAAACATCAAAAATTAATTTTTAAATAATTTATTTATGAAATTCATAATAAAATATTTGTCTTTATTTTTAAAATGATTCATGTTAAAAATATTTTTTAATATAGTCAAGAAATTTATAATAAAATATTTATTTTTATTTATAAATAACTAATATTTTTAACATATGAGTGATTTCTTACTCTAAAAAAAATATAAAAAAATTATGATGTTATATTATTTTTAAGTAATTCAATATTAATTTTATTCTCTTAAAATGTATTTTTAATAAATTTTAAAAAACTTATTATCTTTCTTAATTCTTTTATTTTGATGTATTTATTTGTAGAAGTTATTTGATAAAATAATTATCAAATAAATTTAAACAACTTACTTGTTATGTAAGGTTCTTCTAATTAAAATTACTTTGAATAATTAATATTTTATTTAAGTATTTTAATAAATAATTTTTATTATAAATATACTTAGTATTTTTTTTGTTGTTGGAGATGCTAATGAGAAAATGGAAATACTATATTCTCATATTTACTTCAAACTTTTAAAAAATAATTGAAAAGTTGTAACTTTTTTTCTACCTATGAAAATACGAGAATAAATGTGTTCTTATAATGATGGGAGAGGTATCTGAATGAGTGGATCCTATCTAAAACAGATATTTTGAAATCAGACAAGAGAGTGAAAATAAAAATTAAATTATTGGTTGAAATTTATTTATTTTTTATTTATTTATCTATTATAGTATTTTATATTTTTAAAATATAACAAAATATTTTTTTCCCCAAAATTAGCTTCCCAATAAAACGAAATAGCAAGTTGCATCTAATAAGGTATGTCGGTTGGCTTTCAGCCAAAAATTCCTCTTTCTTTCTTTTTTAATCTTATTTAAAACATTTTTTAAAAATTAAATGTTATTATTAAAATTTTGGTTTATTTTCGTGGTAATGTTTTACTTATCTTTTTATATTCTTCAAGTAAAAGAAGTAAGAAATGAAAAGATAACATAACTAAAAAGACCAAAACAGACACATGATTTGGATGCACGTTGGTCATTTGCATGTGTCATAGTTTATGTCTCACTTTATTTGGAATGAGATGTTACCACACTATCTATCTATTTACTTCTTTACCTTTCATTAAATAATACTTGCCCAACAAATTTATAAAGAAAATACCTAATTCTAATTCTATATGTTCATGTGACCAATCATTATTAGAAGTGTTAAACCGGTTTTTTTATTGAAAACATTATTAAAAACATTATGTATTCACTGCTTCTCCGATTTTGAAAACATTATTAAAAATAGACTAATAGACCGTTCATGATCTTCTTCTGCCCATGGTCCACTGTGTTATCGAAGTAAACACACTCTTAATTTGCCAAGTTAACGAGCCATGAACTAAAATTATGAACCGTGGCAGCAACAATTTAACGCGAGGTGGCTGGTTTTGCCATCGTATCAATGATGATCGTGTTCTCACTCTTCACCACCATCTTAGATTCAACTTCACCCATCCCTGTCGTGCTTTCTCTCTTATCTGGCGTCCATCATCCCATCCTTCCTAAGCACCAAACCGGAGACACTGAAACTTACCCACAATGGTCCCAAACATTTTGTTTCTCATCAAAACTTGTTAAGAAATCACAATCAAACACATTTTCCCACATTCATCAACTCCACCAATACCTACTCTTTCATAACTCCATTGTCTTCTCTGTTCTCATGCACCTCCAATTCCCCCTCCCACTTTCTTATCTACAAAAGACAAACACGAAACTCAAATTGGGCCAAAGATATTATTGGCCCAACTTCTTCTCTCTCCCCTGTCCCTGTTCCTCTTGTGTCTATAAATAAAGCATAGTTTCTAACAACTTGTGCAACATAAATATTAAAATACTTGCAAAGAGAGAGAATGGAAGGGAGAGAGAATGGTCACCCATTGCTGAGAGGAGGTAGAAGAGAGAAAGATTACAGCCATGGGTTATCCACTTCTCAGATGCATGTCATGGCTTCCATTTGTGACACCCTTTTTCCTTCCCTGCCACTGGACTCACTCAACAACAAAAGTTCACTTGACCAACAACCTCTCTCAGCCTTCTACAATTCCTCTGCTTCCCAAAGCCCTTTTCCTGCTGAGGTGATTTTTCATACAGAGATTCTTTCTCTCACTTTTCCTTTTTTTTTTTTTTTTATGATTCCAAATTTAGAAGGAACTATCATATGATCCAACATTGTTATACATAATTAAGTTTTATTAATTTTTTCTAGTTAAGAAACTCAACTACCTGCCACATAAAAAGTGATTCAGACCATTAATACATGGCACTTCCAATTCATTTATTTCCTGTTTGAATGAAAATCAGGCTGCAGAGCTGTTGTACAAGAGGTGTATGCCAGAAGCATTGTCTCTGGTGAGTTGGGTTCTGTGGATGCTGTCTTTGAGATTGGGGACACTGTTGATCTGTGGAAGACTTTGCTTGGACTGGAAGTGGCCTTTCATTCACAAGTTCTCTGAGATTTCCTTGGAGAACAGAGAAGAGATTCTCAGACACTGGTCCAGGGAAAAGCGTTGGGTGCCCCTGCGGTTAGTGTTTGTCCTCATCAAACTTGTTTTCTTCTACAATTTCTTCTCAAGGGTAAGGTTTCTCCCATGTTTTGATAAGATTGAATTCATCATATATGGTTGAGTTTGAATTGCAGATGAAAATTTTGCATCTTTACTGTTATCAAGCTATCAATCACACTAAGAATGATGATAAATTGGGATACACAAAATAGTCTTGGTTAAAGGAAGGACGCCATGATTCCGTAGTTACTTGAAAAACTATCTCTATATACTTACAATCATAGATAGAAAATTTCAAAAGTTTGACTATTGACTTTAATTTATGAGATATGCCCGATAGTTATCGTTACCATTTTTATCATTAAAATTTGGACTAGAAGGGTTCCTTTTAGTAGAGACTGGTGAACCAACACGTTTCTGCATAACATGATTATGGAACCCCAGATTGTTGAATTAAAGGATTAATAAATAAAGAAAACCAAACCAAATAAAAACTAGTCAAACCGGTTTGCATTTTTAAAGAATGAGAAAAAAAAAAAAAAACATGTACGAAATCATTTTAAATTATTTTTCCACTGGGGGCTAAACAACGTTATTTTAAACAACTTTAAATGTATGTTTTAATGTCATAAACTTATGAAAGTTATGTCTATGATTTAATTTGTATAATGTTTAGATAATAAGATTGTTAGTGAGTACTTCTTCAAATTGCATAAAAATATGCTTTTTAGCTTTATTTTTTTCTAAAATGGTAGTTTTTTTAACTATTTTTTTCCAACAATACCCTTGTATATAATTAAGAATAGTCAACACTGTATCATTCATATAGAAAAGAAACATAAAAGCAGTTTAAAAAGTTAAAGATAATTTTATCTAAATTCATATTATTTAAATATGTGTTTCACAACTTTAAAAAGACTATTATTTTAAAATGGAGTGAGGATTACTTCAATAGTTGGAGAACAACTAGATTAGTGCACTGCTAACAAATATTTTCATTAATTCAAAGATGAATTTGATTTTAAAAGTATCTCCTTTAACATGTCATGTGAACACATACATGTTATCTCATTCCCAAATTATTTGCTTGTTTCATGTTTATTTATTTCTGGCCTTTTTCCCGAACACTGCAGACTGATGCAAACGGGGATAATCCCGCATGGAAAGCAATTGGATACGAGGTGGACACCAAGGAAAAGTTGGCACGAAAGGAGAGGCCTCTACAAAAGGGATTAATAGAGACTATGTATGAAACAGATTCTACTTTAATGCAATCCCTCACTGAAAAAGGCCTTGAAGTCACTGAAGATAAACAGCAGAACCTATACAAGGTCAAATGTGATGTTGTCATTGTGGGATCTGGTTGTGGTGGTGGAGTTGCAGCTGCAGTTCTTGCAAACACTGGTCAGAAAGTAATCGTCCTAGAGAAAGGGGAGTATTTTGTTTCCAATGATTATTCTTCCCTAGAAGGTCCATCCATGAACGAACTATACGAATCAGGTGGCATTTTCCCAAGTCTTGATGGGAAGATGATGATCCTAGCTGGCTCAACAGTGGGTGGAGGCTCTGCTATAAACTGGTCTGCATGCATTAGAACACCTGATTCTGTTCTGAGGGAATGGTCTAAAAAATATAAAATTCCGCTTTTTGCAAGCTCTAATTATCAGTCTGCCATGGACTCGGTGTGCAGAAGGATTGGTGTGACAGAGAAGTGCAAGAAAGAAAGCTTTCAGAATCAAATTCTCATTCAAGGATGTGAGAAAATGGGCTTGAAAGTGGAGTCAGTGGCTATAAATTCCTCAGCAGATCATTATTGTGGTTCATGCTGTTATGGTTGTAGGACAGGAGATAAGAAGGGCACTGACTCTACTTGGTTGGTTGATGCTGTAGGAAATGGTGCAGTGATCCTCTCTGGGTGTAAAGCTGAGAGATTCATACTTGAAGATGGAAATGGTGGAACGAAGAATAAGAAATGCTTAGGAGTGATTGCTGCAGCAACTTGGAGGAGTAGGGTAACAAAGAAACTCCTAATCGAATCCAAGGTAGCTATTTCAGCATGTGGCTCTCTCTCCACTCCTCCTCTAATGATTTCTAGTGGACTGAAAAATCCGAACATCGGAAGGAATCTCCATCTCCACCCTGTTCAATTTGCATGGGGATACTTCCCAGAAGACATGGCGAACTTCAGTGGAAATAACTATGAGGGTGGGATCATAACTTCGATCCACAAGGTATTTGCAGAAGATTCCACCCCAAGATTCATTATAGAAACACCTGCTCTAGGACCAGGATCATTTTCAGCATTAGTTCCCTGGCTTTCAGGGCATGACATGAAAGACAGGATGGCAAAGTATGCAAGAACTGTTAACATTTTTGCATTGATAAGAGACCATGGATCAGGAGAAGTGAAGGCTGAAGGGAGGGTAACTTACAGACTTGACCAAGTGGATAAAGAAAACCTTAGAATTGGACTAAGGAAGGCCTTGAGGATTTTGGTTGCAGCAGGTGCTGTGGAAGTGGGAACATACAGGAGTGATGGCCAAAGAATCAAATGTAGGGGGATCAAGGAGGAAGATTTAGAGGAGTTTCTTGACACTGTCACAATAGTTGGGGGTCCAAGGTCCAGGAATGAACTTTGGACAGTGTTTACATCTGCACATCAGATGACAAGCTGTAGAATGGGTGCCACTGAAGAAGAAGGTGCACTTGATGAAAATGGTGAGAGTTGGGAAGCAAAAGGCTTGTATGTGTGTGATGGAAGTGTTTTGCCCAGTGCAGTTGGTGTCAACCCCATGGTAACCATTCAGTCTACAGCATACTGTATTGCCAGTAAGATTGCAGAATCACTCGGCAAAGACAAACAAATCATGAATAGTTAAGCTGTATTATTTCAATGCATGTTGATGAACTTTAATGTAACTGTGTCAAGATGTTATGCAGGACCTTATAATCAAATGTTGTTCAGTGTTTTTACGCTTTATATAACTTGTAAGTTCTACAGAAAGAGTATAGGCTAACATCAACACCAAGTTCCACATTATTGCAATGCAAGAACAAAAATATCTTGTAACATATACTCTCTCTATTATACTCCATCTTTTGTCCTAGGTTTGGTAATAAAAATAAATGTGAAAAAAAAGATAAAATAGACTAAAAAGTGTATTAAGTGACATAAAAATTTATATTTTTTAAAATAATAAATAAATTAAATTAAATTGAGTAATTTTACAATTTAAAAATTATTCATATATTTATTTTGAAAAAATAGGAATGATTTTTGAAAATAACAATATTTTTTATTCTTAAACAAGATAAATACTTTATTCGGTATAATTTATACTCAAACAAACTAATTATTAAAGAAAAATAGTTGCTTCAAATTTAATTCCATACATTAATTGGAGAATAAAAGGTACATCGGGAAGTTGCATAAATTAATTGATGCACGGATAAAAAAATCTTAAATATGTGGAACAAAGGAAGTATTTATATTTGTCCATTTATAAATTCAAGACCTCAATTATTTTTTTAATCATATACTTATCTCTTTTTAATGCTTAAATACTTTACTTACTTACCTAAAATAAGAGAAATTATTATGGATATCACGTGAGATAACTAAAATTAATTTAATATAACTAAGTGTAAATAATTATATTTTTTAAATTTGTGTAATAATTCTAATGTATTTATTTATTTCATTTAGATTCTTCTTAAGAATATTAAGATTTCTGAAATCTAAAAGAACCTCAATGGAGATTATAAATACCAGTAGGAATAATTTAAAATGAAATTTAAAGGCAGTGTATTATAATTATACTCCTAATATATATGTAATCTCAGACTATCGGTTGTCAAATATACTCCTCCATTCCATTAAGATTCGATAATTTGATAACTTAACATACAATTAACAATTGAAAATATTAATATAATAATAAATGTTATTATTTAATTAATATAATTGATTGTTATAATAAATATTCTTATAATTAAAGCAATGATCATTAACGTATTAACCATTGGAAAAACTCTTCTTTTGAAAGGGTAATTGGACAAAGGTAGCATTTACCTTCAAAACTCTTTTTCCTAGGTCAATATCCTTACATTCATGTTATATATCTATCATTCTTCGCATACATAATGAAGGCATTGCCTGATATGAGAAGGACATGAAACTGAAGATGGAGGGTGAGCCAGGAAGACATACAAAATTACAGAAATTATAAAGGGGACACTACAAAGATATAGGAAAAGTGTAATTAAGTAGAGACTATGACAGAAGACTGAAAGAAATTTGACTTTAAATCAGGAGATTGACCATAGAAGCAATACTTATTATGATGAACCATGGAGAAATATTGGAAGAATAAAAAAGACTTTCACATGTTCTTCTTTGATTTGGAAAAGGCATATGAAAGGGTTACAAAAGAAGTTTCTAAAAAGGCCCTAGAAAACAAAAGTGTGTATTGCATTGCAGATATTTGAGCAATCAAGGGTGAATATTTATAAGTAGGGACAGAACTACTGTGAGAACACAAGCTAAGATCACTTCAGATTTTTCTATAACTACAAAATGAACCCAATGATCAACTTTCACTAGTGCAGAATAGGGCTTTTACGTCACCCAATTGTCGTCGCATGCATGTATATTCGACGTAAATAAAACGCGGTGGCAATTTTGTAAATATGGGACAAAAATTTTACGTCGCACATCCCAGTATCCGACGTAAAAAGCCTCTTTTACGTCGCACCTGGGAGGCGCGACGTAAAAGGTGGCTTTTTACATCGCGTGCTGGGATGCGCAACGTAAAAAGTCTATTTTATTTCCCTCGAGACCCACTTCCTCGTCTCGCGCAACCAGGGTTTTTGAGAACGACGACGAGAACGACGACAACAGCTACCTCTGCACACCATTTTCGAGCAGTTTTACAGTGAAAAACATCTACATTATCGTGTCATTTGACGAACTTGATCTTTCTCCCCGATTGGATTCGAGTTTGAAATTAATTTTCGTCTACACTCGAGGTTAGTGTTCTATGTCATTGCTATATGTTTACATTGAATCCGTGATTGTTTTTGGGGATCTCAATCACGTTATAGTATGAATGTCTCCACTGGATTGTTATTGGAATGTAATTATTTGTTTATTTGTTTGAGTGCATTCGGTTTACACACTCCATTGTTGTTGTAACGTGCTTTGTTGTTTGTATATTAATTTTTTTTACATATAATTTTTAAATCTCTAGGAGTGACGAAACTTTATAACATAATATGAATCGAAGTTGGATGAATGCACGTCGTATTAGTGAAGAGTACGAAAAGGGAGTTGAAGAATTTTTGAAATTTGCTAGTGAAAATGGAAAAGCTATGAAAGGGACATATTATTGTCCATGTATTCGTTGTTTGAATCAAATTCGTCATAAACTTGAGGATATACGTGATCACTTGTTTGTTTATGGTATTATTAAGAGTTATACAATATGGACATGGCATGGAGAAATATTAGACATCCCAACTGTGTCAACTACAGACAATTTTGACGAAGGGATGAATGATAATCTAGAGGATATGATACGTGATATTGGTGAAGAAAATTTTATGAAAGAACATGTATATGATTCTTTGAAATCTGATTTTGCGCAACAATTGTACATAGGATGTAGTTTTACAAGATTATCAGCAACTTTAAAATTGTTTACTTTAAAAGCAAGAAATGGATGGACTGATAAAAGTTTCACCGAATTATTGGAGTTGTTGAAGGAGATGCTTCCTGAAGATAATACATTACCTATTCGTAACTATGAGGCAAAGAAGATATTATGTCCAATGGGTTTAGAGTACAAGAAAATACATGCATGTCCTAATGATTGTATATTATACAGAAATGATTTTGCTAAATTAAAGATGTGTCCGACATGTGGTTTGTCGAGGTTCAAAAACAAAGTTGAGGAAAGTAGTGGTGAGGAAGAACTAGATGGTCCCCCTGCTAAGGTGTTATGGTATTTGCCAATTATACCTAGGTTTAAAAGATTATTTGCCATAAAAGAAGATGCAAGAAACTTGACATGGCATGCAAATGGTAGAAAATGTGACAATCTTCTTCGACATCCAGCTGATTCTCCACAATGGAAAAGGATTGATGAAACCTTTCCAGAATTTGGTGCAGAGCAAAGAAACTTGAGAATTGGATTAGCTACAGATGGGATGAATCCTTATGGAAATTTAAGTAGTAAACATAGTTCATGACCAGTTATGTTGATCATTTACAATTTGCCTCATTGGTTATGCATGAAGAGAAAATATATGATGTTAGCTATGATGATTTCAGGACCTCGACAACCAGGAAATGACATAGATGTATATCTTAGTCCTTTAATTGATGATTTGAAAATGTTGTGGGAAACAAGAGTGGATGTATTTGATTCATATCACGAAGTGAATTTCAGGTTGCGTGCAATGTTATTTTGTACTATAAATGATTTTCCAGCATATGGTAATTTGAGCGGTTATAGTGTGAAAGGTCATTTAGCGTGTCCTATATGTCAAGAAGACACAAGTTATATCCAATTGAAACATGGACAAAAAACTGCGTACAATAGGCATAGAAAGTTTCTAGTTGCTAATCATCCATATCGTAAAATGAAAAAAGCATTTAATGGATGTCGGGAGAATGCGATTGCATCGGTACCACGCAATGGTGAACAAGTATATGAGCAAGTGAAAAATATTAATATTGTGTTTAGAAAGACCCAAAAGAAATCCAATGAGAAAAACATTTGGAAGAAACAATCTATATTCTTCAATCTTCCTTATTGGTGTAAGTTGGAAGTTAGACACTCGTATAGATGTGATGCATGTTGAAAAAAATGTTTGTGATAGTATAATTGGGACATTGCTTAACATAAAAGGAAAGACAAAAGATGGAATAAAAGCAAGACAAGATTTGGCAGACATGGGTATACGTTCCGAATTACATCCACAATCAGTTGGAAAACGCACTTACTTACCTCCAGACTTGTCATACTCTATCAAAGAAAGAAAAGAGAAGCTTTTGTGAGTGTTTACATGAGGTCAAAGTGCCACAAGGATACTCCTCAAATGTTAAGAGTCTTGTGTCTATGTAAGAGTTGAAATTAGTTGGTTTAAAGTCTCATGATTGTCATGTGTTGATGCAACAACTTTTACCAGTGGCGATTCGAAACATCTTACCAACTTCTGTTAGAATTGCTATTACTCGGTTATGTTTGTTTTTCAACACCATTTGTAAAAAGGTAATTGATCCAAAAAAGTTAGATGAATTAGAAAATGAAGCAATTGTAATAGTGTGCCGAGTTAGAAATGTATTTTCCCCCTTCCTTTTTTGATATCATGGTGCATTTGATAGTTCATTTGGTAAGGGAAATTCGATTATGTGGTCCAATTTTTCTTAGATGGATGTATCCTGTTGAGAGATACATGAAGATCTTAAAAGGATATGTGAAGAATCAAGTACAGGCCGAAGCTTCTATTGTGGAAAGGTACATTGCGGAAGAAGCCATTGAGTTTTGTCAAGGATACATGTCAAAATCAGAACCAATAGGTATTCCTAAGATGAGACATGATGGAAGATGTGAAGGTAAGGGTACTCGAAATTTGAAGATTAAAAATGTTAGTCTGAAAGAAGTTGACCAAGCACATTTATACATATTGAACAACACCGATGAAGTAATCTCTTACATATCACAACACATAACCGAAATAAAGGCAACACATCCACGAATGAATGAAAAATGGGTATTGAATGAACATAACAAAAGTTTCCTTTCTTGGTTTAAAAAAGGGTATATGTTGAGATTAATGCTTCGAAACACTTTTGAGACTTGCTCGTGGGCCTAATAGTGATGTCATTACATTTGGCGGGTATGACATTAATAACTATTGTTTCTACTCAAAAATAGAAGATGATAAAGGTAGAGTACAAAATAGTGGGGTCACAATTCAAGCTCGAATCTATGCATTTTTCTAGTTCTAAAGACAAAAATCCTATCACAGACTTCTATGAGTTATTTTGGGGTCATACAAGAGATATGGGAAATTGATTATGTTACTTTTAGGGTGCCTGTCTTCAAGTGTAAATGGGTTGAAGGGAATACGGGTGTGAGAACAGATGACCTAGGATTTACTTTGGTTGATTTGAGTAAAGTTGGGTATAAGGATGAACCTTTTATTTTGGCATATCAAGCGAGACAAATATTTTATGTCAAGGATCCATGTAATGAGAGATGGTCAATTGTCCTAGAAGGAAGAAGCATGCACGGAATTCATGAAGATGAGTCTCTAGATATACATGAAACACCTTCATTTTCAAGTAGACCATTTGATGACATAGTTGACAATGAAGTTGATGACATACATGCAATTCGAAGTGATCATGATGAAGGGATATGGGAAAACATACCAACATAATAGGTGTTTATCTTCACATTTTCTAGTTCTTTTTATTCAAACTTATAAAGTATGTTGACTTCATATTGTTTTGTTTTTCGGGATATGTCGGATTCCACAGCTGGTACTCGGTAGTGGTAGTGGCGGTGGCAGGGAGCGGAAGTGGTGATAAAGGTAGATCTGTCACTCGGTTAAAGGGGTTGACGAAGAAGGAGGGTAGCTAGAGAGAAAACTCAAGTTGAAGTTGATCCACGTTCCGGTAAGGCATCCGGCCCAAATGTCGCTAAGTTTAAGAGCTATTTGGGACTACTAGCTCGACACCATGTTCCGATTACTACTCCATCTTGGGATGATGTTGAGGAAACCGAGAAGAACCTAATGTGGCAGGATGTTCAGGTATTTCTATATTTGTTGAATACTTTATATATCATTATTAATTGAATTTAACATTTATTGGTCATTTCACAGACAAAATTTTGATGTTCCTAACACCGAGGTGATGAGGAAGAAGATTTTATCCTCCATTGCCATTAGATGGAGGGACTTTAAGACTTTCTTGACACGGGAGTATGTATTTGGAAAGTTTCGAGATGAATCTCCCTGTCTAAAGTATCAAATTAGTGAGGAGGATTGGTTACAGCTTTGTGCCGACCGAATGGACCCCTCTTGGCTGGATAAAAGACAAGCCGCCCAACAACGTCGGAGGTTGAATGATGCACCCCATGTATTGTCACGAGGAGGGTATGCATTATTGGAGCAACGTCTCATGAAATCTAGAGAAGAGTCGGCAGAAGTTGATTCTACCGACCTTGCATCTCCACCCCTCGCTATCGATGTGGAAGGCAGCCTGACAAAATCGATGGACAAATGACTTTTGAGTCCGCACGAATCATTGCTCGTAAAATCGTAAGTTATAATGTCAATTTGAATTGATTCTAATTTGAAAGTTAGTGTATGACTTAATTATTATTAATGTGTTGTAGGATGATTTAGTTGAGCAAACCAGCCAAGGATCATTTATTCCTCATGGTCGACAAGATATATTGGCGACGACCATAGGAAAACCAGATTACTCGGGACGTGTGCGTGGTGCTCGGTGGAACCTGGGGCCTTCGTGATTACTTTGGTCCAACATCACGAAGGACCACTCGTCGACTCTTGCAGCCAGGAGGCCTTGCATAAAATGGAGATGCAGTTTGAAGAAAAGTTAAATCAAATAAGGCAGTCCTTGCAGGCAAGAGTTTGATGAGAAAATTGAATCTCTCGCCCGCTCTCAGACAACAGACTCAAGGAACACCTCAAACAATTGAACATGATATTGTTCGAGTCAGCACTAAAGGGAGTTGTGCTGCTACTACTCGTTGATCCTTCAGGAGAATATACTCGGATCGATACATCACACCAAGTGTGAGTTATATGTTGAAGATGACCCCCGCGTCTAGTGGTCGTTGGTCGAGTTTTTAGGGTGGCTTAACCATCCATGGTGTCCCTCTACAGACCAGACTCGGACACGAGTAGTAGTTGATGAAGTTCATGATGCTAATGCTCCAAGTGCCTTTTCCTAATGAAGAGATTCAATTAGTGGGGCAGGCAAGCGGGACATTCTTGGCTTGGCCAAGACGTTTGGTTATGCCACTATCAGCACAGGACTAATGTATATATATATATATATATATATATATATATATATATATATACATATTGTCTATTTACTCTTTTCTAGTATTATAATTATATAAATGTTTAATTAATTGTTATCATTTGTTTAGGAGGACTTGCGTCGTGCTAAGCATAAAAAACAACATATTATTGATGAGGATCTCGATGTAATGTGATGATGATCTCATCTCTATGTTGTTAGCCGTATTACCACTGGCTGAGGAAGAGACCGTGTCAGATACAATGGGATGTTAGAGTGTTTGGAATTGACAATTTCAATGTTCCATTGTACATTTCCTTGTCCAATGCTTTAGAAATTGCTTGGGGAAATTGCATGTTAAACATTTCCATCATACAATTGTGGGCAATGTAAGTCATTTTCATTTATGTTTCTAAGATTATAATAATTATATTCAACTTATAATTAATTGTTTTAGGTACCTTGACAATTTAAGTGTGGAACAAGAAAAATCCGAAGTATACGGATTTATTGAGCCTCAATCCATCCAAAAATCTGGAAATACAAAGGTTGGAATCCAACAATATATGCAAACATGGATGAGTGACTCAAGAAGACATATATATTTGGCTCCATACATTGAAGGGTTAGTATTTTAATTTGTATTTTAATTTATATTTTTGTAACTAATTTTTATGTCATACAATGTAGGTCCCATTGGCAGTTAATTGTAATCATGCCCCGGGATTACACTCGTGGTGTGGTTTTGTTCATTACATCGTAAACCGAGTCAAGAAATGAAAAGCTTATTACAAGGGTAACTTTATCTTTTATTCATTAATTATGTTTTTAAATTGTGAATACATATTGAATAATATATGACTTTTTTTCACTTAGAATCGTGTCTTGAACTAATGTTCTAAGTGGAAAACCTAGAACAAAGACTTTGCAGTTCATTTATCCTAAGGTTAGAAACTTATTTATATAAGTGAATACCATAATTATTGTTTGTATTTCAATTTTGAAAATAATATTATGTTTTTTTCATCATTTCAGTGTAATAAGCAAACTGACTCGTTTGAATGTGGTTACTATGTAATGTATTGGATGAGAGTCATAGTTTGTGCGGGTTTAATTGATTCTTGGACTGAGGTAATTACTTTTAACATTAGTTAAGTTTATTTAACTTTATTCATGTTGCATGCTTACAAGAGTCAAATTCATGTTTCGGGTATTTCAAGATCCATCTCCATTACTGGAATCCGAGATTACGTAAATTAGAGAACAATGGGCAAAATTTTTTGTTCAACAATTCTAGTACATTATTTTTTAAGTTCTTGTTCATATTATATTGTGTGTATTATGTAGTTTAGTTTAGTTTAGTTTGTATAGGTAGCTTAGTTTGTATAGGTAGCTTAGTTTGTAATAGATTTTTTAGTTTGTATGTTTGTATTATATTGTTTTATTATGTAGTTTGAATTATATAATATTATATTTTTAATTTACTAGCTAAAGAAAACTGAACCTCTGGACTGTCTGGTTGTAATATTTGCAGGTTTTAATTGTAAAACAGAATAAATAAACCCAATTTAAAAAAAAACAGTAAATTTACGTCGCGTATACCATATTCGACGTAAATTTTCTGTTTTTTTTTTTAAATTGAAAAGTTTTTTACGTCTGTTTAGTGTATATACCACGCAAAATTACATCAGATCTTGATAACTGACGTAAATCTACGTCGGGCAAAAGGGTCCGACGTAAATTTACGTCTCCCGCTTTAACGTCGGACTTAAATACGACGTAAAAAACCCTAAATACCTAACGTAAAAATCCCTCTTTAACGTCGGACTTAAATACGACGTAAAAAACCTTAAATACCTAACGTAAAAACCCTTTTTTGCACTAGTGTTTGAGCCTCTGTCTATATTCTTTATATTTTGAAGTGCTAGTGTACTTATCCAAGAGTCTTCGTCAACTTTTCTTGAATCTTTTTGCAAATGATATAATCCTAATTGAAAAGTCAATAAAGAAAATAATTGGGAAGTTAAAAGCACAACACTTGAAACGTATAGTGCAATTTGAAACTGAATAGACAAACAAGTTCATAAAAACAAAGGAAAGAGTGAAAGAGTTGCATAATTGATTATGTCAATTATGCAGATAGTATCACTTTTATAGCGTATCTGCATGCCTATTTTGTACTCACTTTTTGGGTTAAGGAGAAACTATGAGGAGACTCACATAAAGTGGAGCCCACTGTCATTGTTTTGAGTTAAAGTAGAGTCTCATCCTTGAGTCATGGATGGGTGGATGGTGGTTGCGTCTTGAGGTTCTGGGATTTATGAGCTCATTCAATGTCCTCATCGTTGAACTTGGAGGGGTTTTGTCTCCATTCTACCTGGTTTGAAATGTTGTCTTTAAGAAGGTGTAAATTAATCAGGTTAAAAATATATTTTACTCACTTAAAAATTGTTTTCATTTATTTAAAACTTAATAAAATGAAAAATCCTATTACTAAGTCCTCTATCTTGCGTTCCAAGTTCATTTTTGTCTTCCATTCATTCTCACCTTTAAACCAATGCTCTCATTTTCTCAGTCATTTGGTTGAACCACGTCTAGCTATGGAGTATCAACTTTTTTAAACTTTTCTTCCAGAGCTAGTGGAATCCTAACATAAGTAGTTTATCAAAGATCATCATCACCTTGTAAACTTCTTCATTCCTTCTACTTGGTTTTGATCTTCTTCTTTTCTTTTCCTCTACATCTTTGTTTCAAAAACTAAATGATTTATTCTGAATAGTAGGATCTATGTGGTGTTTTAGATGTTTTTGGAGGTTCTTAGAGTTTGAATGCTCAAGGAAACAACAATCTGAGGCTTTCATTGAGGTAAAACCCGACCAAGGTACAATAGCAAGAAGACATAACATTCTTACGTATATGTTGAGTATTTTGTGCATGGTTAACTTTTGTATGATTTTTTGGTTAATATATGTGATTTTTGTTATAAAAGAAAATGTTTCTTTTGTGAAGTATTGGATTGTTATTTCTTTTGTTTGGTTTATGATGATGTATTATGTTCATGAGTTGAAGAAGCTTTAGTGTTAATGGCTTATGACTTCACTGTTTGACTTCTAAAGTTAATGAATTCTGGACCCTCCTTTTTCTCGAAAGAAGTTCAATATTTAATTGTCATTAAAGAGACAATGACAGTTAATAAAATAAAGTTTAATATATATATATATATATATATATATATATATATATATATATATATATATATATATATATATAAAGAGACCATGTCAATTTTTATTTAATTTTATATAAAAAAGAAATTTAAAATATTTGTGCAAGTACTCAATTTTGCGTATCCTGATCATTATCTATATATCATATCCACCCTTGTATGTTTTTTTTTTCAAGTTTTTTTTATTAATCATTTAATTAAACATGTATTGATTGAATTAAAAATTTATAATGGTAAAAACAAAAGTCAAATTATATATACAAGTAAAAAAAATGTTGTTTTGCAATTTCTTTTACAGTGATTCTTATTATATTTTGGCTTGCTTTCTTAATGGTAACTTATTTTAATCAAATCAAGACGTTAAGTTTGATTTTAAAACCTATATATAATAGGGTTTATGAATAAATATTGTCATCACACCAATCTCATACCCTAATCATTCTATTAATTAAGAGTAACCACTTAACCAAAGAAAAAATGATGAGTTGGTTATGAACAAAAATGTTTTTTTTTTTTTTTCATATGCAAAGAGCTTTGAAAGTGTTGTAGCAAAAAAAAGGTGTCTTTTTAAGGAACTATTTTTCTGGGCTTTTGAATGATATCAGTTCTTTAATACATTTGCATTCATGGAAATCACTGATGAAGTCTACCATTGACAAGTGGAGATACTTCAATCTCAAGAACACGACAATTAGATTCCCTTCACGCTTTAAGTATGATGTAGATAAAGTCTTCCATGGATATGCATAAAGTTAAGGTCTTCTAGGATACAATTCTATATTCTTTTTATTTTTTTATTTTCCTAAATTTAAGGTTTTCATGCTTAGCTACTAAGAAATATTACTAAGAAAGAATGCATTCAGTTTGTGGTAGTTACTCTTTCATCAATAAAAATTGTAAAATAAAAATATAAATTATGCTTCAACAATTTGGACACGTACAATTTTATTTATTATTTAAACAATAATATTATCTTATATTAATTACTTTTGTTTTAAACATTAGAAATTACTTTTTACCCTGAGGAAAATCAATGAGCACAGTGAAATTAGAATTTATAATCTTATATAAATTATTCAAAATTCTCTATTATGATCACAACATGTTTATTGGCCAATTTATCACGAAAAAGTTGGACTAATCTCTGCTTGTAGATTAAAAACAAGTTTTATCATATTTATTAAAAATATTAGTTACTTGTTGTTATTATTATTTTATGTCTATAAAGTTTATTTTATTTTGTTTTTGTTTTTTCACTTAATTAATAAAATTATGTGTTAAATTTTTGTTGCATATACTTTTAGTTTAAGTTTTTAAAATTTGTTTATATCAATGTATAACTATTTCTTGAACTAGTATCTAGAGAAAAGGAAAAGTGTTAAATGTACATTTGACTTTTGGGATGCATCGGTTGAATGAAGAAAGAGATACAGAGGGAGAAGCTGATAGATATAATAAATGATTTGACGAAAAAAATCTAAAAAAATGAGAGTGATGTAAGAAAATTTGAATGTATAAATATGACAAATACATTATTTATATTATATATATATATATATATATATATATATATATATTACTAAAACATATTTTTTATGTGTCTTCTTAGTTACCTTTAAAGGTTTTAATATACAAAATATATAATTATTGTGTTATCTTAATAAAATAGTTATATAATTTTCATTTATTTATTTTTTTATATTATAATAAATATATATTGATTAAATATTTTATAAAAAATTATAATTAATAATAATATTTTGAGAGTGGCGAACAAAATGTAATTGATAAATATAATTTAAAAGTGATAAATAATATATATTTTACACCAACAAAACTTACTCTCATTTTATAAGAATACAGACTAAAAATTTACAAAATTCAAAATAAGTTTGACTAATTATCCTTAGAAAAAAAAATTATTTAAATCATATAATAAAAGCAACTTAAGTATAATTATTTAGCGTTTAATTATTCACTTAATTTTATTATAATTATTCATTTAGTTCTCATAGTATATAAATTTATCCTTTTTAATTACATATCTATTTTAATTTCTTAAAACATAATATATATTTGTAATTATCTTAGATATTATTTTAATTTTTTATTCTTTAAAGTGTAAAACTAAATAAATTAAAATAAATAGTTTTAAATATAAATCCTTATAGATAAAAATGATTTAATTATAGAATTTAATATGCCATTAAATCATTCCTTATATAAAATTAATATTAAGCATTCAAAATTAAATTTTATTTGAATAATTAATAGATAAAACTTCTTTACCTGAATTGGAAAATTAAAATTCATTTAAAAAAGTACATAAAGGACTTGTAGGTTGTGCACGTATAAAATTTTAAATAATATAAAAAAATAAATAAAATAAAAAACTCATTACACGCGCCGCTTGACATTTTCGTAATAACTGGTTTTCAACAAGGTCATTTAGTTGCAATGGTCAATATAAATACCACACTCGATCATCATTCTTTCATCTTCAATCTAACCTCGTTAACATCGCTCCTCTTCTTTCCAGTTCACTCTTCATGAATTCTTCGTAAATTGCTTCAAAATTTCTCATCACGCCACCACCCGAACTCAGATTCCGCCGTCAACCTTTCTTCTCTCCACCATCTTCCAATTTTTTTCTTAATTTTCAGTCCTTTCACTTTCAACAATTTTCTCAGAGGCCCACCATTTTCCCTAAATTCAATTACTGTTGGTTCTTTTTTTATTCTTTAATGTCATTTTTTTTTTTCCTTTTGTATTAAGTTTGATGAGTGTAGAAAAACAAAATGAGTACCAAAACAATGCGTCCTCCCTCTCGCCGTGTGCCACTGCCACTGAACGGTGCTAAGCGCAAAGAGAGGGATGATGGTTGCCCAAGGCCCAAATCTTCATCCACAATTACCAAATTGTCCAAGTCAGATAAGCTAAGATCTGGAACTGAGTCCAGAGAAAAAAACCCAAACCCAGTCTCGGCGAACATGCTCCTGGCTGGGTACTTGGCCCATGAATTTCTGAGCAAGGGAACACTATTGGGCCGAAGAATGGGCCAGTTGCGGAGCCTGGAAGAGGAGTCACAGCAGCAGAAGTACGAGAGGTATGTGGAGCTAACCCTGTTGTTAAAGACAGATGGGGCCCAGCTCTTCGACATTGTAAACCCAAACCAATTGGCCCACTTCTTAAAACTATGATTAGACGTGTTATTAACATTAACACACAAGAACTACCCCTTAAAATGTGGCTAACATAGACTTCCTAGGAATTATCAATCATCAATGAAAAAGTAGCCAGGAAAATCAATTTCTTTTCTGAGAATCTGCATTTCGGGGTTTTCTTTTGTCTATGTCATGTGGGCACGCATACATGCAAACTGTTCCTGTGTTTATACCTCATGATCATGATGATGATGTTGATGTATCATGTTTAATATCTTAATTCATGAAGTTTCGTTTGTTTTTCTTTTATCATAAATGTTATTTATCCAAGAAATTAATTTTGTTGTTTTCTCTTCTTGTTGTGCGTGCCATCATCATTTCATATTGTATTATGATAAAATCTAATGGCATACTTGAATTTGTAAATGCAATTAATTAATTAATTAGTGTTTAAAAATTGACCACTATCATTAATGAAACAACAATGGAGTCATAAGGTTTATTATTTCAATAGCCTCCTCACAATATTAGGTATTACTGGGTTTGAATAAACTCGTGTATAAAGATTTGAGAATAGTTTATCTATGAGTTGGTGAACTTAAAAAAAATATATATATAATTATTTAGTGTTCGGATGAAATATATATAAATGGTTATAAAAATTACAGAAAAATGAATTTACTTGTGGAAACATACGCAATATTTTTTCATAAACAGTTATAAAAATTAAAAAATTTATTATATAATATAAGAATAAAATAATATAGCTTATTATATATATATATATATATATATATATATATATATATATATATATATATATATATATATATATATTGGTCTATGCAAGAGATTTTTTTTCAATTATCAAAATTCTATTTTAAACCTTTATTATGTGTTAATAACATTTTTTCTTTTCAATTGTAAGATGGAATAAGTTTTATATGGTTAATGTAATAAATATTTTAATACATATTTTCATAACTTCTCATAAGTATTTGATTGAGTTATTATAAATATAGAATCATAATATATATATATATATATATATATATATATATATATATTACATTTAAATTTAAAATGAAAGTCAAATAATTAAATTAGAACAACTTTATATTTTTTATTCACGATGTTATCAATATTTTATAATATGTAAACATAAAAATTATAATTAATGATAATAATAGTTGACTCACACTGCATAAAATTACAAGTCACATTTTATTTGAGAGTGAAAAAATTGTTAAAAATACTTTTATTTAAAGTATAGTATGTCGTGCATAAATACGAATATCTCTATTATATATTAGAATTTTGATTTATTATATTATAGGATATTAACCTATTCTATTATATTCAAAATGTTAAAAGTCAACCAACATTCAATGTATCATCATAAAGGTTTTAAACTAAGTAACTCTAGTGGCTGTTTAATAAGTGCAATTATACTTTCTTAAGAAAACTCAACTAAAAAGGTTTAATAGTACTATTTTTTATTAAATACTTGAGCCCTTATATTTAACTATTAAATAATTTAAATTTTTAATATAATAAATACTTTTTTATTTTCTTAACCAGTACATCTTAAAAAAAAAAAATCACTTATGTATGTATGTATATTATTCCACTTATTAATGTTGTTAAAATACATTTTATTTAACTGAGATTGTAGTTAAATGACCTATCCATGTTGTAAACATATATATTATTTAATTGAGATTGTAATTTAACGATTTTACTTATATTAAATCATAATAAAGAATAATTTAAGATATTTATTTAAAATCGATAAAATAAAATGACATATTTTTTATATATTTTAACTGAGTTATAGTTGAAATACGAAAGGATATATGTGTAAATTGTGGTTCATCCCTCAAACTAGACATCAAAGATTTTGTAAATCATGGAGGCCGTGTAACACATTAGTTACGTTATGTTTCCACGTTGTTAGGTGATCTAATCGTGGAGCTCGTGTAACATATAAGTTAGATTATCTTTCCACGTTTAGGTGAATTTTAATGGAGTTTTTAGAAATAACTATTTAAAAATAAAAAAATATATATTTTATTATAAATTATATATATAAATTTTAAAAAATTATTAAGATTTATTTATATAAATATAATTTTTTAATTTTAAGTATTTTTTTTTAATTTTAGATAATTTTAAGACTCATAATTAAATATTTTTATTTTAAAATAATTTTTATTAATTATTCTTTAAAAAATATTTATAAAAAAATTGTGTGTCTATATTTTTTATTTTTCTTTATCAACTATTTAAAAGTATTTATGTTTTTTTCTTCACTTGTTACACTCATACGAATACGAGTGTACTTTTTTCTTCATTTGTATGATAAATTATAATATATTATAAATAAGATGTTTTCTTTTTCTTAACAAAATGAAATTTCATATATATATATATATATATATATATATATATATATATATGAGTAGGATAGTGCAACAAAATGCATACAAACTATTTTAATATATAATTATTTTCTTAAATAAATAGTTTTTATTGTAAACAAAACTGTGCTTAGTAGAAGTACCACTCTCTCAAACTTTCTATTATTTATATAAAAATATTAATTAATACTTATATTTAAGTTTGAATTGTATTGTTATAATATATTCTCTCTATTTGTATTTGCATTTGCGTGCTTATGAATATTATTTAATTTAATTTTATTCATTTCACTTTGTTTATATATATATATATATATATATATATATATATATATATATATATATATATATATATATATATATATATATATATATATATATATATATACTATAAGTCATTTAATTCTTTTATTGATTTTTATGTGTTTTTTATTTTATTGTCTCTTCTTCTCACTTTTATTTTTTTAGTAGGTAACTATTTTTTTTATTGAGAAGCTGATGTATTTTTTATTGATATTTTTTTTTATTGAGAAGTTGATGTAATGCAAATATATATTAGGGAGTTTTTTTTATCACTTTCATTTTTCTTACAATATAATTTTTTTATTGATAAAATACAATATATATTATTATATATTTTGTTCACAACTTAGTTTATATGCTTTGATGATAAACAATTATTTTTAAAATATACTGGTAAAAAAAACAAGATAAATGATGTTTTTTGTTTAATAATAATAAAAAAAGACCATTAACAAAGATGAAATATATATTTCTTCAAATTATAATGAGAAAATAGTATATTATACTAGCAATCTTTTAAAATAAAGAATAGGAATAAATTTGATAACATTATTTTCTATAACATTTTTCTAGAAAATATCTTCAAATTTAAGAATTTAAAATAAAATAAAATAAATAGAATTCGAAAGATTTATTTTAAATAAAGTCTATATCAATATCATTTTGAAAGATGTGGCTTATTCGAAAGATAAATTTCTTATTGATAATATAATAATCTATATTAACAAGAAAAATATTGTGGATAATTTTAGTTACGATGATTTTAAAAAAATAATATTTTTTTAAAAATAAGTTTATTTATATATATATATATATATATATATATATATATAAATTGTTAGAATAATTATTAAATCTATGTGTAATTATTAAGTTGGAGTAGGAGGTAGTGTGTTGGAAAAACCTACCAGTTGTCCTAGTTTTGTACCTAGATGTATATGCCCTCTTGTATAAGATTTTCATTACAAATAGAAGATGGTTGAGAGGGGTGATTAAGCCCTCTAAACTATATTTTCCTATTTCTTAAAGTTAAGTTGATATGAGAGTGAGTTGATCTGCTCTACCTGTCTCAGTCATCTCTGGAGCCACCGTCCACCGCTATTCATTGTCTTCCACCATTGTTTGCCATTACAGTTTTGTCTGTGCGACCACCGGATCTGGATCGTCTCTCCTGAGTAACGCCCACCCCTGCGGGTCTCGAAAGCTAGTTTCGTCCCACGCCCCCCATCCGCCGCTGTTCGCCATCACAGGTTTGTCCGGTAACCACCGGATCTGGATCGCCTCTCCGAGCGACGATCATCCATGCCGGTCTCGTAAGCTAGTTCTGTCCCAAGCGTCGTCACGTGCCTAGTCAAAATCGGCACGTGTCACCCATGCGCCGCCTTCTTCGCGTCTGAACATTGTCGTGCCACCTCCGTGGGTATTGCTGGAGCCTTCTCTTCCTGTTCTGACCCTCAAAAGCCAACCTAACGAATGTCACCTTAGGAGTCTCTCGGCCCTAGTTGGTTTCTGGCTCTCTATCAACAGAAATGACTACCGGAGATGTTGTTTTATTCTCTGGAAGTCCTTAAATTACTTCCGAAAAACTAAATGGAAAAAATTACCTTTCGTGGGCTGCATCTGTAGAAATATGGTTTCTTGGCCAAGGTCATAATGACCACCTTGAGAAAGATGGAAGCCATATCCCCCTTTGAAAAGGCTTATCAGTGGAACCAAGTTGATTACCAGTTGTGTGCCCTGTTATGGCAAACTGTAGAACCAAGACTTTTGATTTTCCTTAGAGCCTTCAAAACTTGCCACCTTTTTTGGAAGAAAGCTCAAGACATTTATGCAAATGATATTCAACGCCTCTATGATTCTGCCAACAGACTTGCATCACTCAAACAAACTGACCATGATATGGTATCCTTCATGACCGAAGCATAATATGCAGTTGAAGAGCTAAAGATGTTCTTGAAAGTAGAATCTTTAGATGAAATCAATAAGAAACTTGATAAATATTATATGGTGATGATCCTCTATGCTTTACACCCAAACTTTGATCATCTCCGAGATCAACTTCTTACTAGTCATGAGGTCCCTTCCTTGGATAGCTTGACCACACGCCTCCTTCGGGTCCTAACGCCTCAAAGCAAGGAAGTTCATGAACTGATAGATTCATCTGTCATGGTTGTCACACGAGACAGAGGAGAACGTGGTACTAGCGGAGGACGTGGTGGCCGATGACGTCCTCAGTGTACCTACTATAAAAGGATAGGTCACAACCAGGAAAACGGCTTCTCCTTGCATGGTTTTCCTGCCAAGATAGCTAAT